TTTGTTGTTGTCGGTAAGGTAACAAGACTCGTGTCGCTACGCGGTTTTCCCACCCCGGGGCAGTGATGGGACCCCGGGGTCCCGCCAATTGCTTCAAATGTTGCAGCTCAGAGGGTGCCACCTGCCATGAATTGTCTGAACAGAACAGCCTCGCCAACCCTCACTTTGGAGAGATAGGCAGTGCTCCACACTGCAGCAAACACATTTTCACACAAAATATATACAGACTCCTCCACTTACGAACGAGTTAGGTTCCTGATGTATGTTCGTAAGTCGATTTGTTCATCAGTCCAACTTTACTCCCGTCGATTCCAAACGTGTTGTACGGCATGTACACTAAACACGGGGGGAATGGCTTTAAAAGTTGTATGCTCTCCTGTATATGTAGACGCCACTCGTTCTTCATGTTCTGCATGATGTAGATGCCACTGGTTCTTCATGTTCTGCATGATGTAGATGCCACTGGTTCTTCATGTTCTGCATGATGTAGATGCCACTGGTTCTTCATGTTCTGCAGATGTAGATGTCACTGGTTCTTCATGTACTGCAGATGTAGATGTCACTAGTTCTTCACGTTCTGCATGATGTAGATGCCACTGGTTCTTCATGTTCTGCATGATGTAGATGCCACTGGTTCTTCATGTTCTGCATGATGTAGATGCCACTGGTTCTTCATGTTCTGCATGATGTAGATGCGACCACCCCCATCTATTGCGCGGCGGTTGAACTTACGACTCTTGGTCCGAACAGGCAACTGGACATACGGACATGTTTGTTAGTACATATCTGAAAGTTCGTAAGTAAAGTGTTCGTAAGTAGAGGAGTCATTGAACTTGTTCCATTTGTGATGACAGTGATTTCCCTATGGCCAAAGCACCGCAGCTGCTGCCTCAACAAATTTAATTTATAGTTAATATGTTTATTGTACTTCATGGACTACAATAATGGTTTCAGAAAGCAAATGTAATAATAAATTAATGAAATTTTATTATTTTTATATTTATTAAAATGTAATACACTCAAGAGATAGCGAAATAATAATACGGAGTTAGACATTTTTTTTTTATAATAATTCAGAGCTATATGGAGCGATTGTAATTGAGTACTATAATTGTACAATATTGTTTTAATGTACAATCGTGTAATTTCTGTAAATAAGCTACTCAAGGGGAGATGTATCATAAGCTTAACAATTTACAAATGGCCATTAAGCAAGATCAATATACCAATAGTATTATCTCAGCTTAGAGACGCTCTTAAAATTCAAGCAGCCTGGGAGATGAGAAATCTAATTCTGTTCAAACAGATAACAGGGTTGGCAAACAGAGTACATTAAAACATTCTCACTGATGCCAATGTTGTGACAGTAAAGCCCTCATTGGCTGGAGGTGGCATGTGCTGAGTTCCACGGCACAACATGTCCCATGCTGCCTCATGCTGATGTGATTGCACCAACATGTAACCGTATTAGATTTAACAATTGTATCACTTGGGCGGTCAAATTAAAATGCCTCTACCCCCAGGCCATTGAGATATGTATGCACAAAAAGAGGACCCACACAAACATCATTCTTAAATTGGAGAGGACACATGCAGAATGAGAACACAAGATATGTGCATGCATGAATACCTCATGTAAACCGCAGTGTTTTGATTTAGGGTACGCACACAGTGCCAGAATTTATTTGCGCTTGCCACTCCTTTCGGCTAATTTGTGCTTGCAACTACTGCACATGTGGCTAATCGCACCACTCACTCACACACTATGAGCATTTCTCTTAAGTTTTCCTGTCTGATAGGAATCGCAGGCACATAGAGCGTATAGATGAATGATATGGTAAATATTGCTACAAATTTTCATGAAATTTTCTGTAAATAATCAAAGCAATATGAAGGAAATGTGTAGGTTTACATTTTTGTACTCTCTCGATGTACACAACGTACAGTACGTGCAAATTGATGTGGACATCCTGGTTACTTTTGACACCATGTGGTTGCGATGCTAATCTTAAATGAGGAAGACACGTATATACAGCAAATAATTACATACACAGCCTAATGTACCATTCTTGACGACACCTTGTAAAGACCATTGAAAATTATTGTCAAAAAACATCAACTAGACAAATAACAGTATTAATTTGTCAATCCATGGCTGGATGCGTATCGGTCATGGGGGTTGTTTGACTATACTTTACGATGTTGGTCAGTGTAAGTTGGTAAAGAGTGGCCCAGGACCAGCTCAGATATCACCTGCTACTGATGTTTTAGTGATCGCTGACAATCAAACTCAGATTGCTTGGTTTGCAGTGAGCTATTCAATCTGCTACCACCCCAGGTAGACGGATGGTCGACCTTTATTTATAACCAACATACGAGGCCATTGAGACTCGAAGTCCTATTATCAAGCGATACCTGAGTTGCCAAACAGATGGTGGGGATGTGCATATCTGTGTATCAACATTGCACTTAAGTACTGAGGCTTGGGGTAAATCTCAACAACCTATGAGTAATGAACAGTCAGAAACCCGTCACACTAACATATGGCATCGTAGGCAGCAAATAATAACAGCACCACAGCCTAAGATCCTTATGATAGATATTAAACATTTGACAGTGGTTCTTTCATCATATTAGCCACATTCTGAAAGTACCGTTCCAAATTTATAAACTCCTCCATCCCTTATGTGTTTTATGCAATTCAAGGTACTGTCACTATATGAACACATTTCCATGGAAACAAAGGGACTGCGTGTTTATTCACAGGCCTGTAGGTTTTGGGAAATATTTTCAGGAATATATCTCAATTATAATTAAGTTTAGAAAGCGGTGCACAAGTTAAGATTAGGGTGCTTCTTTGTATTGTGGATCAGTTTATTCGGTTTCACAGCACAAATACGGAATCCGTTCAAATCAAGTTGTGAGCCAATATGTTCACTGTGTAGAAACTATGCAACGTTGCCCCGTGTATTGTTAAAGGTGCAGTGAGTTGATGCACATGTGTGTGAGCGCTGACCAATTTGGTCAACGGATGTGATCATGTGGGATATAAAAGGAGCTTGCAATTTAGTGCTTGGATTCAGTGAGTGGTTGGGTGGAAGCATAATTCGCATCTTTGCCAATAAATATATTACAACCAAAAGTAAACTTTACCTCATGAACAAAATATGCCAGGCCCCCAAGGGGTTCCAAAGACAATCACAGAGTACTGGCCCCAATCCAACATTCACTTTAAGCACTGTTACAATTTAGTTGAATGTTGCTTAACAGATCTTGTATGCCCAGCCTCAACAATTTCAGCTGTCAAGCCGCTGAAGTTATGGGGTGCCAACAGTCACGCACTGTGTGCATGAGTTTCAGCCACAGCATGCCAATGAGAGTCAGGCCTGCGCCCTTCACAACCCTTCTTAATAATAAACACATGTTGAATTAAAAAAAACCGAAGACACCCACACATGCAACATGGGTACAGAATGTAATAGAGTATTTATTTTTGACCCTTTGGTTCATGTTCCACCCTGTAATTGCTATTCGTTAGTCTGGCATTTCTTTATTAACAACACACACTGCTCTATTCCTTGCAACTGCGTTACTGCAAGCATGCAGTAAAGTGTTATTATTAATATTGTCTGTTTTTGGTTGTTACTTTCATTACAATACCACGTAGTACATTTCAATCATGACAGTACATGACTGCAACTGCAATTCCATCCGGTAAAACGCTTATGAATACATCCAGCAGTGGATTAATCATGGTTGATAATAATGATATCATATTTTTTTTATTAAATATATTTTCATGATATTTTTATGAAAATGCAATGGACAGCACCTATATCGTACCGCAAGTTCCAGCAAAGTGAGACGCATAATGTCTTCCACGGTGACATTTTTTTAAAAATTTAAAACACATTTGAAATACTGTACGTTGTTTATTTTTTGGGCCCAAAACTGATCTTTTGCAAAGTAACATATAGCAGATGTTTTGGTAACATGCTTGGAAATAAGCCAACATTAGTTATATTTTTTTTAATATGTGGTTTTTAGCACCGAGCCAAGACGCAGAGCGAATGTCTGCCCATCTGTACGTGACAATAGGCAGCTACACATTTACCGGGAAGTGTTGCAAAGGCCTATTTGCAAAACTGATCTTTTGCAAAGGCCTATTTGCAACACTTATATATTTTATTATTTTATTGTTTCCCTTCAACGTGACTTTACCGAAAGAGCTAAGAATATGAATAAGGCCTATTTCATGAAACCTGTCCAATTCCCCACATTTGTTAAAATAGCAGAAGTGGTTGTCTAGCAGAAATGTTATTCAATCACCACATGTCTGCTGTTAAAAGAAATATGTTGTACAAAATGTGTTTCCTGTAAAATATTATCCTATACGGCCTATGTAAGTGAACATCTCGACTCCACTCTTTCTCACATTCATAGTGGGTACAAATAAGAATAATATAATAATGTCCTTTATCCAGAAAAACCACACCAAGTCTCAAAATTATTTTCAGACTTTTACAAATGCATCATCTACCAACCCTTGCCTCCAATACATTGGAACACAATTGTGCGCAAACACAGCCGACTCAAGGTAAAGTAATGCACACTCCTAGCTTCTTGGAGACCAACAAGAATGGAAGATAGCCTTTAATGCAGGGAGAACTGTTCTATAGCCACGAGGGCAAGGAGAGATTGTGATATTACAAGGTGAAAACTTGTCCTCTTGGCTTATTACATAGATTCATCCACTCTGAACTTTATTGTTCTTTGGCTAACTCGATCATTGTTCACCTTTAAACGCTCTCCCCAGACACTGTTGAGTGGAGCCTCTATAAGAACAGTATTACGTCCTTCACTGGAATTGCACAACATGTTCGGATTCTAACTCATCTGGTGTACATTGATCATGGGTCACATGCATAATAATGCCTTTCTGTTGACGGAAAGTACGACTAAAGGGCAAATTGCAAATGCCAGTAGACATTTTGCAAGTGGCAACTGCAATTGTTTGCCATTCCGGAGGCTTTACTCCGATCTTATTTTGGCATATATTGTCACATAGTGGGTTTTATGTTGATACAAGGAACTCCTGTGACTTGCATAAAACGGTAAAATATGAATTGAAGCTTTGCCTCTCGTGTTTTTTTACACGATGGACCTCAGTGGAACATCATCATCGCTACGCTGAAGACTAAAGACTGCATTGGCAAAAAGACGACACCTGGCTTCTACAAAAGTGAGTTTACCGCTGTTTGAAGTTTCAGTCATGTTTATGTGCTAGAAAGTTTCATGGGATTATGTCCCCATTGCAGAAGAGTACTCTGTGAGCTGCCAGTGTTTAACGAAAGAAAAATCAGCTTCAAATTTTGGCCAGTCTGAAATATGGCAAACCTCACGTGTGCAGAATGTGTTCGAAAAAAGAGCATATTTATGGATAATGTATTAATAACCAATAAAAACACCATCAGCAACATTTTGGGATCTTGATTTTCTATACACCAAAACTAGTATCGCAGATTATAAGTATACCACAATAGTGTATAGCTGCTGAATTAAAACATTACCATTAAAAATGACGAGGATGCGAGAGTGTTGATAAGTGATTAATAAAGCCCATCACTAAACTTATACTGCCACAAGGTCTTTTCATCTGGACTTTAGGCATATTACGTGACAGCAAATTTAAGTATTTTTTTTTAAATAGACAACAGTGACTTTTGATTGCATGAGTTTTGTACTTACAGTGTAGACTTCGACACCCCTTGGGTCAGCGTTTCCTTCTGCGTTATGCAAGAACTTTACACAACAACAGTGCGACAACAACAACAATAGTGTAAACATACTTTATATAAGTTCTCGAAGGTGTCATTCCTTTTTTTTAAGCCTTACTTTTGCACGTATTATTATGAATTATTTTACCCATATCTAATTGCTAAAATTGGTTGTAAGTACTCTTATTCGACTTACTGGTGAGCTGAAACAATGATAATTAATGCACTAAACACTTGTGACAGTGATAATTTACTTTGATGGGCTAAGTCAGTTGGTGGCAGGTTTTACAACAGGAATTTAGCCAGATCATTACGCGGCCTTACCGAAAAACTATTTTGAAATTAATAGTGGCTGCAAAAACCCCTGTTAAGTTATTTTACTGATGTTCTTTAAAGTTGCGTACAACAAGCTTACGAAACAATTGTGGCTATCTGTTGGAGGGACGCCATTGGAAAACACATCACAGTATTTATAGATGGGGAGATTATGAAGATGGATCAGAATGGAAATTATGAAATAGAGAGGTGGACAAAAAGAGCTTGGAGTGTTTTTGGAAAACGGAACTTAACGATGAAAAATCATTTTCCAAACTAAGAGTTTTCAATAAATGTATGTCACCCGATATGACATAAGGATGGCCATTGACAAATATCGTGAAACAAAAGGGGAAAATGCATAAAGAAGCCTGTAATGTGCATGCTTGGAATCACACGGAGGCACAGAAAGAAAAACACAAGGATCGGAAAACACGCAAGCAAGAGACATCGTATTGACTGTTAAGAAAGGGAAGTGGGGCTTAGGCAGTGAACATCATTAATAGGGATGAGGACACAGGTCAAAACTAACAACAAAGCGATAGTCAAAGGAGAGAAGACACCCAACCAATGAGATCTTCTCTCAAAACTGCTCTAGAGGAGTTGTACACCCCTAGCTGCCACTGCTATTCATTGGCGTAAAATAAAATAAAATGTTCCGCTCCGGATGACGCTGCAAAGTATTATCTGTATTTTGATTTAGCGTGCTGATCTTAAAGGTGCATTGAAAAATGTGATACTCCGACGGATGCTTCTGTTGTTGTGGAGTAACTCATGCAGCCAGCTATGGCTCTAGGGTTTGGTGTTACATGTTATTTATGTAGTTTATTGTAAATAATTCGGTCACAGTGCCTATGATCACTGTTACATTGCAATTATGGCTTTATTTTTTGGTGATTTCGAAAAGTTATTTGGTTTGGACATGTTTGTTTTGTTGTAGTACGGAGTTAGACTGATGGCCTTAATCTAAGTTTTCTTGTGGTTGTTGTTGCTGTTTGACTTGTATCCCACTGGGATTTTTTGCACACAGCGTTGGTGTGTGGTCCTTTGATATAAAATTGGATGCTCCATTAGATGCTACGCCTTCTCACATGCCTGGATAGAAAGATGTTCATCACATACATATTCAAAATATTGTTTATACAAAAGATTTGTTAGTTGCTTATTACTAATGCTTTTTTATATTTAACATTTCAATGATGTGCCAATGCAAGTTTAAGTTTGCTTTCAAGTCCAATTATTAAAATGCCAAACCATTACTCTGTATATACTAAATTGATGATGAGTGACGTATCTGTGTATTGACGTTAGCGTCACTCATCCAGATCTACCATGGACTTAATCGAAGACGTGGTGCCGGCTGTCAGCTGCCTGGTGGTCGTGCTTGCTCTGCCTCTCAACCTCGTGGCCATCTACATCCTCTGTGCGTGCATCAAGAGGAAGTCCTCCACCACCGTGCTGATGATCAACCTGGCCGTAGCAGATGTCCTCTTCGTCTGCTGCCTATTCTTCATCATCCCGTACTACTTCAAGGGGAACGTGTGGGTCTTCGGACTTTTCCTCTGCCATTTCATCTACACGATCTTCTTTACGACCACCTACGTGAGCATCCTGTCCGTGATGGCCCTCTCTGTGGACCGCTACTTCGCCATCCTGTACCCCATCAAATCCAAGGTGTGGAGGAACAAGGTGTGGGGCTGCATGGCGAGTGCTATCACTTGGGTGATGGCATTCATCCACGTTGTGCCTATGAACGCGACCAAGATGATGAATATCAACACAGATCACAACACGAGCGAAGCCTCCTCCTGCTGCGATAATTTCGCCCCAGATGACCTGGAATTCATAGCGAGACTGCGGTTAGTGCTGTGCATTACCTTGTACGTGTTCCCACTGTTTGTCACATCTTACTGCTACGCCTCCATCATGAAAGTGCTCCTCTCCAATAATGTGCTCAACATGGGGCAAGAAAAGAAGACACGTGCCATTAGGCTAATCATAATTACGATGCTCATTTATCTGTTTTGTTTTGGTTGTTACAATGCTACACATGTCATAGGTTATGTTAACCACCTTAACTTATGGTGGCGCCCTCTGTCACTTGTGTTCAACACTCTCAACTGCATGCTGGACCCTCTCATTTACTATTTTGCCTCAACAACCTGCCAGGAGGTCCTTAAAGAATACTTCACTAAAAGAACACAGTCCAGCAATGGCAATGAAGCAACTTTAGCGACCTAGAGTGGAACGCAAATGGATATGCTTCACTTAGATGCAGTCTCAATGTGTCGCAAGCATCAATGGTAAAGGTAATTTTCTTCAACTAAATGAATCATCACTTTCATCCCCATGATGACTTCATCCATAGATCTTAACTGGTAAAACAAGCAGCTCACCAGTTGGACTGCCAACAATTGTTTGAAATGTCAATCTATGTGTACTGTATTTATGCACATATTTTTTTGTCTATTTCATAAAACACCATAAACGATGTTTCCCTTAGTTTATACTGATTTGGGCTTTTACCACAACGAGGTTAGTGTAGGCTATGTGGAGGAATATCACAACCAGAAACACCAGCATGGTCCTCCAATCACCTCGTGGTGTGACGAATTATGGGGGGGGTGGGAGTGGAGGGATTATACTCATTGCAACCATATTTTTAAACATCATATTTCCTTTTGTTCGACCTGGTTAGTAATGGCTAGTCCACAACGGTACGTATGCATCTGCTCATTTCTCAGTAGACGTCTCAAGTCTCAGGCATTTGGAGTGAGACTCGTGCATTTAATATCACACAATACCAACATTCATGCATTTCACATCTCGTGAGAATTGATTCGCTTCGGGCGCCTCAAAAGTTTCACCCAGTAGGTCTCACACCGCCCACTGGCCAAAAGCACGCATTGCCCATCTTCTGGACTAACAACTGCACTGCAACGTTCAACGTCATTATGATCCTGGTCCACCTTTAAAGACTGTCCAGGGTATGCATATTTTGGCGTGTTTAAAGTTGTATCCCCTCAAGAGGAATTTTTGATTTGCTGGTAAAACTTGTTGTATGTGACTTTTGTTCTGACAATTTTATCTTGAACTTTGCAACCTTATCTATTAAGACCTTTAAACATTTCCATCGGTTGGTAGAATGACGATGCCGTAAGAAGAAAAAAATCTGAGGTTGTAAATATTTCACGTTAATGCCTTTATTTCTCCAATCCTATTTCTTGCAAAACATCTTCCAATGCAGCTGTGAATAACTTTGGCGAAAGCATATCTTCTTGCCCGCCTCTCTTGCCGGTATGTTTTGTTGCATTTCTCCATGTAAACTCAGTATAGATGTTTCATTTATTGGTTTTGCTTATATAAGAACTGCATACATTTTCACTTAATCAAATGGGAGAGTACCATCTACAGCTACCAACCACCAAACAACGACATGGTCTGGCATATTTTGTTGCCGTTTGATTTCGGGCACTATATTTAATAAACTTACGTAGTAGATCCTCAATTACTGGCAACATATGAAATCACGCTTATGATATGCGGTCAAAAATTGAGGATTCGATAAGTTTGTTAAATGTATTGCTAGAAATCATACATATAGAACTAAAAACAGCAACAAATAGCATACGATGTTTAGCTACACATTGGCTGTGCCTGCCAGACCAGAGCTATTGATCGCACTATTAAACCATTGAACATCCTGTTAATGATATGGCTGCGTGGTTTGTTCTTGATTCAAAAGGCAGCAGTATAAAATAGGCATTGAGATGCAGAATATTTATATTTTTGATAATTGAACATGTTTAATACCTCTTGATTTGTTTATTTCATGTTGTTAATCATTGATGACACATAAAATAAGTGATTTGATATGTTGCCGTTAATTTAGAATATACTAAATAAGTTATGGATATATATTGTCCAAATTTAAACATAACATATATCATGCCACATACGTGAGCTCTTTTGAGGACTACATACAATGTGACTTCGGTGCAGTCGATAAGGTGTGCTTGTATATTGTTTATATAAAGCTCACGATTCATGTATCGAGACGCGCGTGTACACATCTAAGTGTTGAACTGGGTCCGCGTAACACCCTCCCCCCCCCAGCCACTAGAGGCCGCTGAATGGGGAGGGATGTCATTTGTTACCATCCTAATACCTGAACGGCGAAGACGCTTGGGAGGCTTTCATCCCGGGGTGAACAGGTCACGGTTGTTGATGATCAAACTGTGATTGGGCAGTATGCGACTACTACAATGGTTCAAGCAAGCCTGACTCTGCTGACGAGACACTGCATGTCAAAATCGGTCCTGTGTTGCTTGGACTGTACCAATACGACTGCAATTACGCACTCTCAAGAGGTCATTGTGGTTGACTGGAAGTGGAGGGATAGACGTACGAAGGAGACATGCTTTCGGCTAATTTATTTTGTTTTATTTCCACAACTACGCTGACGATTGCAGTATTTCGTGTCTGAGCCGGGGAGCACGTGGACCCCTGGGGGGTACGTGGCGATGTCCCAAGGAGTACAAGAGATGATTTATAAATGCGTGAAATTATATCATGCATGACAGTCATTGGTGAATAATCGCGTATGAATCTGCCAACATAACAGAGCTAATAAAATGTAAATTCATACGGTGACCGAGAACAACATTAAATAACGTTCTAAATTATTTTATTGTAAACAATGTGGTTTCCAAGAGTAACGCTTGCAAGTTACGAGCCAGTTAGGATACAGCACCTCACAAAATGGATAATTTGTAAAAAAAAAAACATTAATGTTCATTATTCATACATATACACTTATTTATTTCTCAGAACCACGTTGGGTCAGGCAAGAGGGTTACTCGGTTGAAACAGAATTCAAGAAGGGGTTATAATGGTAGTGGCCCAATAAACATGTCCAGAAACATGTGATGATGTGAATTAATAATCTCGGGTTCTCTGCGAGTGGGGGCACCATCTAGTTCATGGTTTATAACAACCACACGCCGAGTCTCGCCGATTGTAAGCCACTAGAGGCGCTACAATTAAATGTGTAACGGATACAACAACAACAACCTATGCTGGAAACAATCGAATACACCAGGTCCTTCCACGAGGTGGGGGCGGGGGGTGGTTTTGTGAGAATCGTTAAATGTACCCTTCTGCAACCTTCACAGGAACATAAAATAATTGAAATAAATCGAGTTTCAGGATTTTTTTTAAAAACCAGACCGTTTCAGGCCAGAGCGGTGCACAATGCGATCACCACGAGTTCAATCTCTGATCAGTGTTCATCAGCTTTTCGGGGGGAGGGGGGGGATCAATAGAATAGGTACCAACTCAGCCACGATATCTCTCAACCGCCACTTGTCTAGAAGGCAACCACTGTCGTACTAAACACAAACTGGGAGCTTTCGGTGCCATAGAAATGCGACACTTTCACACGCGCCCACCGACTCGGGCCAGTCGTGGGTCTCCAACAGCAATCCGGTTGAGGTTGAACAACATCAGTGGCGAGCGTTTCTCACAAATCATTTACTTACCACTGTTCCGAAGAGTGCGTGCGCTCACGGTCTGGCTGTTAGGTGTTCTCCTCGGTGTAAAATGCGAGGAAGTTCGGTTGTTGTTGTTGTTCTTGTTTATTTCGTCTCTCTTCACGCACCACAGCCACACGCACGCGAATCGAGGGGGGGGGGGGGGGGGGTGGGGGGGGAGGGGGGCACCTCACCCGGGACGATTCAAACTCCTGGCGATGGACACCACCACCAGATCGAGTAATCGCGATTACTGACTAGGGGCTATCCATTGAGTTCGTACGGGAGGGGGGGTTCACCAAAACGCGGACGCTTGCGTATGGGGGGGGGGGGGTGTCTACTGACAATGTACGCATAGGAAACGGGGGGGGGGGGGTGGTGAAGCCTCGATAATGATTTGTCTACAATGGCCTTCAAATGAGTTAGATAGTCCGGCGGTGGACTATCTGTTTGCTGAAACACGTTAATATCATTAATCCTTGATCGTTTCTGCGTGGATTAAATATCGACCGTTCTATAGGATTCGGGGGGGGGGGGGGTGCGTCAGGCGTTCGTACGCAGGTGGTGGGGGGGGTTTAAAGTTCACGTGCGTACAGGGAAGGGGGGGAGGGGTCAAGTTGTGACAGATTTTTGCGTTACGTCCTAAATGGATGGCCCCTTACTTTCGGTCGACGAAATCGATTAGTAATCGATGACTTACTGCGGTAGTACCTCGGTTAACGTTTTGAAAACCCGCTCCACGAAAACTAGCGTTCCCCGAAATAACTGTTCGATCGAATAATAGGAATTGCATGCATAGCTTTCAACCCAGGTCCACACGTGCGTACAGACGTTTTAATACGAGCAACAACAACAACAAAATTTACATTTGTGTTTCTCCCTTGTGATTGGCCTTTGTAGAATGAACTGTAAGATTTGAGCCGTTTCACACTGCCAAAAAAAAGTAAAATGTAAACAAAGACCGTCGGGATCTAAACGCTGATGAATGGGCGTCCCTGATTGGCTGAGGGCATGCTCGTAAACGTGCCGTTCGTCGACACGTTAGCGTTAGTAGACACGTTCGCGTTAGTAGACACATTCGTGTTAGTCTACACGTTAGCGTTCGTCGACACGTTAGCGTTAGTAGACACGTTAGTCGACACGTTTGCGTTATTCGAAGCATACGGGTCCTGTGGGGAGGCGAAACGTAAACCGAAAACACCGTTAACCGATGTCACCGTTAACCGAGGGGACCACTGTATTTGGATTACTGGGCACGGCAGTTGGCGGTAACGAGGTGACTTTATTTTAAAACGACGTGGTGGGGGTTCGTGAAAGGGAATTCAAATCTTCGTCTTCTTTTTCCTATGGCTGGGGAAACAGTTATAGTTTGGTGTCGATTTTAGCGATCCATTCAACGGCTTCAGGTGCGGCACAGCGAGCGCTTGCGATGCCACCTGCAATGGATCTCTCAGAGCAGGAGTTTCAGTAGGTGGGCGATCGTCTGACCTGGGTGGTCGCCACAGTTACAATTTGGGCTGCTCCCTCATGTGGATAAAGTGGCCACATCTTCCCTGGCCTGTGCTCAAGCCGGTTGAAGGTTGTCCGATGTTTCCATGGGAGGTTGAACCCTGGGGAACTTAACTGCTCTGGCCGGTTACCGAGTTGCAATTGGTGGCGTTTGCAGTCGACCAGGAGAGTGCACCGCCAAGAGGTCGGGCTGTCATCAGTTCGTCGTGGTTGGAGTGTATTCCAGTCGGGACTGCGGGATTTTCGATGAGCGCGTGGAGAGTTTTGAGGTCGCCGCGGTGGCGAGATGTTAACTACCTCGCTTGATATACGAGAGGTCGTGGGTTCGATCCCAACCCTGACGCCTGTATATTTGGAGTTTGCATGTTCTCCCCGCGGTCGCGTGGATCTTTCTCCGGGTCTTACCTCCACATTTAGGAATATTCCTTTAGCGTATTTGACTGCTATACATTTCCACATAAGGCAGTTGATTCGAGCTATTATTGGTGGCCAGGTCACTTCTGAAAAAAAAATCTATTTTGCTCAGTGGGCTTTACCTGGTAACATAAAACGTTATTTGCCTAGTTTAGGTCGTTTGCAAGTGGGAGTGCTTTGTTGGCTGACAGCCGGTGGTGTTATTTTAGAATGTTTCCCCTCCAGGCGTCTGGAGGTTCAATGCGGGCTTGTGCAGGAAGCCACTCAAGCGGTGTTGGTCTCCCTGCTCCAGAGATGGCCCTCTGGGCTGCCCGGAGGTTTGTATCTGCCAGATAGAGCCGTGGTACAAAAATAAATAAATGATTGTGGACTCAACTTCACCAATCACCCGCCCGACAATTGACAATCGGACGCTACGGACAGAAAGTAATGGAGGCGTTGGACAACCAATCTTTCAATTAACATAAGTTCTGTTACGTGTCGAGTCAGTCCCGCTCACATCCTCAGACGTGGCAACGTGGACGAGCCTAGCCGGGGGCTGTGCCCCCCCCCCCAAAAAAAAAGAACACGGGCAGCGTGGCGCGGTGCAGGAGGGGAGTGGGGTGGAGTGTGCGTGTGTCGTGCAGCGGTACGAACCCGGCGATCCGAGTTAGATTCCCGCTCACGGTCACCAACACCAGTGACGATTATCAGAGCCGGTCATGGGGAGACAAAGGCGGCCGGGCGTGGTGCTGGCCACCCACCCCCTCGTGTGCCGTGCCGGCCTTTAAAGGGGCTACTCGCGAACAGCACTTGCCATACAAGGTGGGGGGTTCACGACCACGTACCCACCCCGTTATTCTCCCCCATCCTCCAATGCCGATCAACATTCAGTGACAGATATCTGTTTCTATAATCGAGAGTAATCCGTCGATTAATCGACTCCTAAGACATTAAACGATTACTGGGGAATTTTGCTAAGGTAATCGAAGTTATATATTCTTTGTAATTCATTATAATCTATTCTGATCCATTCGAATCGATTACCCCCCCCCCCCTCCCATTACGCCCGTCCCGACTCAAGCGTCTCATTTGGAATGATGATCATCATCAATGTAGTGGCTTTATTTTTACATTAGGTGTGACTTTGTGATGTCGACGTGGATGAACGAACAAGTGCCACCTGTTAAGATATTAGTGACGTCGCTGCAATGTCACGATGGCGCTATGGCGGCCACCATTGAAAGTTATTTTTTAAGTATTTTTCACATCACTTAATCTTCAATATCGTGTCATTGTCATGGGCAATGCGTAGTACTGCAACAAGTTTTCAAGATTCTTAACATTTCATTGTTAGCTTACTGAAAAATAACCCGGGCCCTCTATTGATGGAATCGTTTTGCCATCATTTTACCCAACGTTACATTTGGTTTCAGTTTCATTTATTTGGTATCGATAGTCCCTGGAAAAAAAATATTTCACGACAAACTAAAATGACTATTCACGAAAAATTCAAAACACAATTCACTGTTCCCCTTATTGTTTTTTTTTATTTAAAGCTCGACTGTCAACGTGTTTTCAGTTAAACCACCGGCCATTCTACGAGTAGCCACAATCTAATTAGATACAGCATGTTCTGGATTTAAAAAGAGCTGGTAGCAAAATACACTTAATTGTATTTTTTCCGTGTGCAGTTCTTATAAGTTATCTACATTTCGCATGTTACTACACTACTTGTGTGAATATGCAATTATTTACAACACTGTGTTTTAAGTGGAACCCACGGTCATGATAACCATTACGGGTACTGTAACTGCCGTGTGTGTGTGTGAACCAGCAGCAAGTTACATTAAACCACTTCAGGGCATTTGCCCTTGGTCATTGTGGGGTGGGAACTGTGGTACAGATCCGTGCACTGCGCTGTGCAATCCTGCCACCTGAGTACGATTCCTGGCCAGAGCGAACATCAGTGGCGAGTGATAGCTGGATCGGTTCTGGGCCAATCCCTTCAACACACGGAGCTGCGTGGTAAATACCTTTAACCCCCCCATTATCAAACAGTGGCTTGACAAAGGGGCTGTACATTTTTGTGTTTTATGCAACATGCCCAGCTCGTCAGTACTACCGCAGTCTACATTTGGCACGGCCATCAAGTTAACTACTGTATAGGCTACATATCTGTTTTAAATGCAGAATGTAATTTATGGATGCTACCCAACTGAAATGGCTTTCCCTGCTTGCATTAAAAAGCCCTTTTGGAACAGCTGGTGTACAGATCTTTGCAACATAAAAGTGAGCGTCAATAAAATTACGAAATCACAATTCCCAAGAGAATTTGAACACGTACAAACCATCCCTTACGATAATGAAAAGATATGAGCTGTCAACCATCAGCTTTTTATCAATTTTTTTAAGGAAACAACCATTTAAGTTCACCCTCAATAATTATACACAAACTTACAATGTAACATACATCGTCAGCGTTACTCATAATCGAACATAAAAATGTGTTAAACCATTACAAGTATACACAAATAAACTACCGTACAGAGGCGTGCACCTTCAAACCCGCCTGTAAAGCGTCATCCCTTCACAGCCTGTACATACAGATTAACTCGGCCATCCTCGGTCAGCATTGGGAGGCGGTAGCACGTTCAACTCCGAAACCCTCTACCCGTGACCCGAATTAACTCTCGAGTGTCCCTGTGGTCTTATCATAATGCTGACCATTCCGAGGCACCATGGCTTGCAATTACACATACTCCTAAACTATAGCATGTGTATATACTGCATATACATTACACCACAATGCAATCCTCCATGAGTTTTGTTAGAGAAGTTACACGAATAACAGTGATGCAGCAGTTTGCTCGCGGGGCTCATCAGTCACTGAAGCGTACCCAGTGTTCCATGACGTGGAGCCTCACTGTGCTGGTTGTCACTGATTGACTTGTGTGGATTCGTGCTGAGCCGATGCACGTGTCCATTTTTTTTTAAAGTACAGTTCAGTCATATGCTTGACAGTATAAAAACACACACCACCTATGAATCATTTAATAGATTTTTTTTAGTTTTGGCAATAGAAGAAATGCGTTGTCTCCTGCCATTCTACCATTTAATGCGTTATGTTGCTTGCTTAATTTCACGTGATTTGGAACATTTTAAGAAAAACATTCAACCTCTATACATCACTGTATTTATCAGAATAGATCAAGTACCAAATATGTTCACAATAAAAAAAAACATTACAATGTAAACGTTTTAAAATATATACAGTGTAAAAAATGCTTTAAAATAGCAGTTTAGAATTTGCAAAGTAAAGCAAAATACATTCAAAAAATTAGTGAATGGGCAAACTCCACGAGTTGGAAACACATCGCTGTCAACCCATACGGTTTACCCGTATTTTTGTACAGATAAATTTAGTTTTCAGGTCCATACGGCATACAGCCGTTTCAATACGGGCAAACCACATTCTTTGTCTGTTTGTGTTTCTCCCTTGTGATGGGACTAGGATGAACGTTGATATTCATAAGGGCACGGGGTGACCAATAAGGTCTAAATTGGTCTGTAATAAGGTAGGGCACTGATAAGGGGTTGACAAGCATGGAAACACGTGAGGAAGGAGGAGTGAGAGAAGGGATGCATGTCACTGATTTGTGGGATACACTCTTGCATGAGCAACACCAAGCACGCACGCAACAAGCCATCTGGCCATCCGCCAAGACTCGCCTTGTTTTGATTTTATATCTGCACTTTACTTTGTACAGTAGAATTTTAGCCTACATTGTCTCTATTACTGCTTTTTGGGTCTCATTGGACACTCACATAGTTCTAAATAAAGGTCACTAGGAGACTCGGCATATTGACTTTACAGTCAAGACAATCTCAATAGCCTAAATAAACGATGGCAAGAATTTGCTGTGACGGCCATCCTGGTGCATGTTACCTCAATGCTGACAATAATCACAGTCGCAAGTGAGAAATGGTAGCCTAATAGAATCTGATTTAAAGGTTTCGTGACTGCAGGGATTCATATTCTTGGTTCTTTCGGTAAAGTCACGTAGAAGGGAAACAATAAAATAATAAACATAGATGGACTCGTCCATCTGAACAAACTGTCAAATCGCTATCCGTGGTGCTAACGTTAAAAAACCGCCACTTTTTTCGAATTTTCTTGTTGTGGTTTTCACACCTGATGATGATTGCTTGTGTTGCAGTCGGAACGTCGTGAGGATTTTATTGTTTTACATTTTTATTATTTTATTGTTTCCCTTCTACGTGACTTTACCGAAAGAACCAAGAATATAATAGAATCTGGTTTAATGCAGTCTCATTGTTGCGTGGGAATTTATTTGTGAACCAAACCCTAGCATGATGTGCCAAAAAAAAATACTTGCAGCAGCCTGGGGATAAATGCTTCTGCATTCCCGTTGAAAATAATTTCATCCTCGAGCTATTGAAAAATAAACACTCCATATGTACGGACAGACGATATTGTGCAGAGTCAAGTGCTGACTGCTGCATTTCTTAAATATGCCCCTCCTCCATCCATCTCCACTGCTTGCTTCCATTCTCCATTTCAGTTTTCCACCAAATACTCGGCTTGGTCCAAGGGGTCTTCCTCGATAATCCCAATCCCAACTAATCTCTGAGTCCATTCAAAGGGATGTAAACTAACCTGTGATTTGGACGATCTGATCCACTGTGGACGGGACTGGCGGTGAAATGTGTTGGTGGCAGCTGCGTTTCCCTCCGTATAACTGTGTAGCGCTGACGACTCATTAAGACCATCGCTGACACCCGTAATCAAGCCCACGTGAACAGAACCTAAAGGTGAAGTGAACAATGGGTCGAATTGCTACTCCTCAAATGAAACAAAATGTATAATGTCCACATTATTTTTTTAAGCTTTTGATTGCTTCGGATTGTAATCTAAAAACAAACGTACTGTAAAAAAAGAGCAAATACCCTCAAGAATAAACGATCGAGTGAAAGGTGTGTTTGCAATGTCTCTTGCGCCCTTGCCAGAGCGATAAATTCGCAGTTCATCCCTTTGTTCGTGCAAGCAGCTGCAGGTCCTGCCCAACGTTCAAATGGCAGGCAAGGCAGGCAGACACATCCTGCAAACGCACCGATGTGCAGGGCCAATGTCCGTGCTGCCATTTCCCGCGTGCCAGCGGGGGGGCGAGCGGTTCAGCGAGCGGGTGGGTGGGCGCGTGGGTGGTTAGAGGCGCGTTATGCGCTGCGACTCGGCATCCTCCGGGTCAGAGTCGATCCCATCGGGCTGGCGCTCGGGCACAAGGTGCGCGGGCACGCAAGTCTTGCTCGTGCGCGCAAACTGCATCCAGCGTGCATCGTCGCTCTCGTGCGTCAGGTAGCGCGTGCCCAGGCGCGTCTCCAACGTTCGCAGGTCCAGCCACGTTTGGAAGTCCTGCGAGTGGAACGTGGACGCACGCAAGCAGTGCACGGGCATGCAGGCACGCACGCCAATCACAGAGGCAAGTGTGAGCGCAGTCCCAATCACAGCAAGTGAATATCAAGTTCCAGAAGCGCTGGAACTTAAGTTGACAAGGTACATTGCAATTCACCGACTAAATTCAAATCTTACACTCGCAATACATTTGCATCGAATCGCGTGCGGAAAATGTATTATTTTAAAGGCGTATATTGTGATCGATTGGTTTACATGATCCCAGCTGCTACTCGAGCATTAAATTCCTACAATGTTTAAAAACATATCCATTCTTTAATTGTGACTCTGAATCGACTGTAAATCAGAGATTCGCTCGAGCTTTACATCTGCATTTGGTGTGTGCAGGGATCTTTACCTGCAGCCATGGATGGCTGAGCGATTTGTCCACACTGAAGCGCTGCCTGGTGTTCACCTGCAGCAGGTGTGAAATCAAGTCGATGGCTAAAAAAAAAACACACACAAGTATAAATTTAATGTAAAAAAACGTTGAAGATGGTACCGCAAATGTGTACTGCGTACAGCCCTTCTGGCTAATCCACTGCTGGATGAGGGCTTCCTCACGCCATGTGGGTCGTGGGACTAACTGACAATCCTTGTCAGTGGGTCGCCAAATTCACGGGAAGCACAGACGTAGCATAGAACAGTACAAAAACCATTATTTTGCTGCACTGTCCTCTACTGAAAATGTAGGCCTGCAGCAGTTACAGCTACACCACATAGACACACTACACTTGGCACACGTGGTTAATGTATCGGGGTGGCTGAGTAAATTGTATGTGACGTACAAAAGACACGCGGTACGAGCTGGAACTGAAAACGACGACACATGCGCCGCAAGGCGATCCTCCCACCCCCGCCTACCATCGGGCGAGTTCTCCTTCCAGGGGTTGGCCGGGAACATGAAAGCGGCGTTCTGGATCTGCTCGTTGATGTCCTCGTCCTCGTTGAAGGGGAAGGTGCCGCTGAGGCTCACGTAGATGATGACGCCCACCGACCACATGTCGAGCGAGCGGTTGTAGCCCTGCTTGCTTCGGATCACCTCGGGCGCCAGGTAGGCCGGCGTGCCCACCACCGAGCGGCGGAACGACTTCTCGCCGATGATGCGCGCGAAGCCGAAGTCGCACAGCTTCACCTGCCCGTCCGAAACACAGCGGCGTTGCGGCGGAAGGGGATCGAGGGCGAGAGGGTTAAGGTGGAAAGGAGCGGCGGGCAAGCGTAAGCGTGGGCTTTTTCGACGTCGGCTCGAACGCCGGCGTCGTGAGAGAGCGCGTGCCGACCTGCGGGAAGGGCTCCGAGGAGGCGAGCAGCACGTTCTCCGGCTTCAGGTCACAGTGCACGATGTTCTTGAAGTGCAGGTGGCGCAGCGCCATGAGGATCTGTCGGCGGAGCGGCGGGCAGGCGGCACACGTTCACTTGCAACGCAAACTACCAACAGCAGCCCACCTGTGATGTAGGCAGGCTGGGGACAATGCCCACGAAACCAAGCCTGCCTACACCACGGGTGTTTCACGCTGCATGGCCGAGCGTTGAGCTCGCATCTCCGCGGTCGTAACGTCAAATGCAAAGTGCACACCCGCTGCGGCTTCGCTTCCGACACAGGCACGCAAAACGCACTTTCTGCACGCACAATAGGCAGCTGTGCAGTGGCGCGTGGAAGCCTGCGGGGGAGGGAGTATATGTCATTTATAATGAGCAGGCAAATATTTTTTGAAGGTGTGCGGGGGGGGGGGGCCCCACCGCCACCTAATTCTGAGCCAACACTGCACCTGTGAGATGAAGAACTTGGTAATGCGTTCGGGCAACCGGCCACGTTCGCTGGACAGGATCATCTCGAGCATGTCCCCGTGCAGCTTCTCCATGACCACGAAGACGCGCTCCGCCGTCTCGAACATGCTCTGCAGGTAGACCACGCCCGGGTGCTGCAGGCTCTGTGGGGGGATCGTGGGCACACACCGTATATCAAGGTGAGGTTTTGTTTAACCAGGTGCGAACTCAAAAGACACCAGGATAGTCTTATTTGCAAGAGCGACCTGTTGGTCACCACAAACGACAATGTTTCACGTAACGTAAACGACAACAGTGAAGTAAATACAGCTGTGTCAGAGAATATAGAGAAAATGCTTGCACACACGTGAACCGATATGAAATAATAATAATAATAAAAACAACTCCTGTAACGCAGAGACGGACGCGAACAAACCGCGGGGCGATGTCCACACCGCCACGCGCTGGTGCAAAACGCGCGCACCGCAAATTCACTGCACACCTTCGTAATACTTCTCGTGAGCTGATGTCGCCGGGTTGTGAAGTTTTACGGTTGGTTGCGCCATGCACGACTACTGCACTGGGTGTGGGCAGTTAATCGTGCAGCTTTCGTGATTGGCTGAAGACGTCGCGGATGAGAATGCATTCTAGCCGAGGTTGTTAAAAACAGCAGGTTGAGATGAGGGACATTTTGGGCGATGGCCCTTTCCCTTTACAGCATCTGCTCGAAATGTCACCTATTATATGTTTTCCTTTAAGGGCAGTGTTATCGCCAAATGTGTCGAGGTTTTTTGTTACGTGTGCTTGTGCCCCACTGCAAATGGAGCAGCCACCAAAAAATGTATTTGCATGGAATGGACTGCTGCTACCATCTGGCTACCATGAGAGATTCGTTCATGAGGCTATCCACATATACAAACACAGAGACAATTTCAAACGAGAAGATGGATTCTGGCTTAGCAATCATTGGAAGGGTTTGATAAACCATTTCGGATCTTAATTGATTGATCATGCTTAAGGTGGCTTTCAGACCGCATCCATTATTTTTCGTCTCCCCCCTCCTCTTTTCCGAACATAGATGGACTCGTTCATCTGAACAAACTGTCAAATCGCTCTCCGTGGTGCTAACGTTAAAAAAAAACGCCACTTTTTTCAAATTTTCTTGCTGTGGTTTTCACACCTGATGATGATTGCTTGTGTTGTAAGCGAAACGTCGTGAGAATTTTATTGTTTTATATTTTTATTATTTTATTGTTTCCCTTCTACGTGACTTTACCGAAAGAACCAAGAATATGCTGCTACCGTGTTATCCACAATCCACCACAACAGTGCATGTTACATTTTGTACTTTTGCTTACTCTGCTGAACAGGCTGATGGAGCTCTGTGGCATTCCTTTTGTTTTAAAACGACACTCTGCTGATGATACTTAGAAAGTTGAGTGCAGTCCAGAATGTTCTCATTAAAAACAATGCTGCTGGAAGGCACACAGGCTGATGGACACATTTCTTTTGGTCTATTTAAAGTGGTGAAACAGACTGTGGTCTGTTAGTTTAGCAAGTTATTACCCAAAATGCCCTGATGCAGTGCATATTATATTTTCTACAGAACTGTGGGAGCGGTGGCACTGTGGTTAGCGCACTGCATCATAAACTCGGCATCCGCCTCCAGTTCCATTCCCGGTCACAGCCACCATCAGTGACGAGTGATATCTGAACCAATCCTGGCTGCCCCCTTTTGCCAACCCTGACTGACCAGTGTGGTGAATTATGTAAAGAAAAAAAGACAAAACTGCACAATAAACGCGATGTGGGGGAGGCCTTCATCCAGCAGCAGATTGATCACAGCTGTTGTTGGGGAATCAAGAGCAGGATTACCTGCAGTATGGCCACCTCGTTGCGGAGCTGGCTATCCTCGTTGGTGGGGAAGCGAAGCTTATCGATCACCTTGATAGCCACATCGCGCCCAGTCTTACGGTGCTTCCCTGTGCACACAGACACCACCAAACCGCCCGGTCGTCTCACACCGCAACGTAACCACCGCCACACATGCCTAGTAGTAGTCCTCGAACGGTTCTTCTCTACCAGCATGCAATGTCCACTTTCACCAAGAGCTAGTACTGGAAACTCTGGCATGTAGGCATTCACTCCTACACAATTCAATTGTTATGAGCCGAAGTCCCTTTAATAAAAGAACCAATTGATTTTTGTCTCATTTGTAATGTCCGTTTCATATTTCATCGGTTCCGCCCGATTTGATATCAGCCTGAAACTAATATTTTTGGAAATCTTAAATAATATTTTCAGAAATCTTAAAAAAATGGGTTATTATACGGACGATTCAATGCATGCATCGTGAGAATAACAATATATTAATTGATTATATTCACGCCCACTGATGGAACAGTGTCACAGTGGTTAGCACACTCCACTATAAACCCAATGATTCGAGTTCCATTCCCGGCCGCGGCTAACGTCAGTGACGTATGTATATACCTCCGTGTTAATCGGAGGTGACAGGCAATTATTTGCACCGATCCTGCACCCCTAGCCCATCTCCCCCTTCATTTGCCTGCACAAACCAGCGTGGCGAAGTATGGTAGTAAGCTACGTGACTGCTGTCAACTATGCTTGTACATTGCGGAGTGAGTCTGCGAGTTTGATGAAAGGCAAAGTGTGCGACGGTGCGCGCAGTTACGGCACACGCATGGTACCCTCACCTCCATACACCACTCCGAACTGGCCCGAGCCCAGAACCTCGTTGGGGAAGATCTGGTAAATACTGCTGATGTCCTGAAAATGCCACAACGCGCCAACCAACGTTATACGAGCTCCCGGGAAAAAAAAAAAAAATTAACACTGGCCGGTTTTCTAAAATGAAGTTTAGGTGGATTCCTAATTTATTTTTGGGTTAGGCAACGTAATGATCTGAACCAGTTTGTATTGCCAAGACTCTCTCCACCACCCAACACAGCCAAAACAAATTAATTGTCACATGTACAAGCGTTTAACGTGACAATTATTATTGTTTAAACTCACCGGCAAGTTAAAGGGCATTTCTCATAACTAAATTTAGCCAAGATCCTGGAAGTCAGAAAAACAAACCAGGAAGTAACCAAACAAGGATGTCAGTATTGGCATGTCACCGAATACGGCTTCTCAAATAAGTGTCATGTTCGGAAACAGGCACCACCAACCAAACAATATTATTGCCAACCTTCCTCTAGCCCTCAGATTCTTAATTCACCGTCATATTCTCCTGTCATGTGGATATCAAATAGCAGTCTGCATGAGTGTACGCCGCTACTCACCACGTTCTCCTGGATCTTGCAGTTGGACATGGAGAAGCTCACGCACACCTCCGCTGCAACAACAAGTAACACCGTTAACCCGAAATGCCATTGGCCGATCTCAACGCATCATCCACTCTTAGTGATAACACGCGTGTTAGCGGTAACACGCGTGTTAGCGGTAACACGCGTCTTAGCGATAACACGTCTTAGCGATAACACGTCTTAGCGATAACACACGTCTTAGCGATAACACACGTCTTAGCGGTAACACACGTTTTAGCGATAACACGCGTTAGTGATAACACGCGTTAGTGATAACACGCGTTAGTGATAACACACGTCTTAGTGATAACACACGTCTTAGTGGTAACACACGTTTTAGTGATAACACGCGTTAGCGATAACACACGTGTTAGCGATAACACGCGTTAGTGATAACACACGTCTTAGTGATAACACGCGTTAGTGATAACACACGTCTTAGTGGTAACACGTGTTAGTGGTAACACGTGTTAGTGGTAACACGTGTTAGTGGTAACACGTCTTAGTGATAACACACGTTTTAGTGATAACACACGTCTTAGTGATAACACGCGTTAGTGATAACACGCGTCTTAGTGGTAACACACGTTTTAGTGATAACACACGTCTTAGTGATAACACACGTCTTAGTGATAACACGCGTTAGTGATAACACGCGTCTTAGTGGTAACACACGTTTTAGTGATAACACACGTCTTAGTGATAACACACGTCTTAGTGATAACACGCGTTAGTGATAACACGCGTCTTAGTGGTAACACGTCTTAGTGGTAACACGTGTTAGTGGTAACACGTGTTAGTGGTAACACGTCTTAGTGATAACACGCGTCTTAGTGATAACACACGTCTTAGTGATAACACGTCTTAGTGATAACACGTGTTAGTGATAACACGTCTTAGTGATAACACGCGTGAGTGATAACACGCGTGAGTGATAACACGCGTCTTAGTGGTAACACGTGTTAGTGGTAACACGCGTTAGTGATAACACGCGTTAGTGATAACACGCGTCTTAGTGGTAACACGTGTTAGTGATAACACGTGTTAGTGGTAACACGTGTTAGTGGTAACACGTCTTAGTGGTAACACACGTCTTAGTGATAACACGCGTCTTAGTGATAACACGCATCTTAGTGATAACACGTCTTAGTGATAACACAAGTCTTAGTGATAACACATGTCTTAGTGATAACACGCGTATTAGTGATAACACGCGTCTTAGTGATAACACGTCTTAGTGGTAACACGCGTCTTAGTGATAACACGCGTCTTAGTGATAACACGCATCTTAGTGGTAACACGTCTTAGTGATAACACGTCTTAGTGGTAACACGCGTCTTAGTGATAACACGTCTTAGTGATAACACACGTCTTAGTGATAACACACGTCTTAGTGATAATACGTGTTAGTGGTAACACGTCTTAGTGATAACACGTGTTAGTGGTAACACGTCTTAGTGATAACACACGTCTTAGTGGTAACACGCGTCTTAGTGGTAACATGCGTCTTAGTGATAACACGTCTTAGTGGTAACACGTCTTAGTGATAACACGCGTCTTAGTGATAACACGTCTTAGTGATAACACACGTCTTAGTGGTAACACGCGTCTTAGTGATAACACGCGTCTTAGTGGTAACATGCGTCTTAGTGGTAACACGCGTCTTAGTGATAACACGTCTTAGTGATAACACGCGTCTTAGTGGTAACACGTCTTAGTGGTAACACGTCTTAGTGATAACACGTCTTAGTGATAACACGTCTTAGTGATAACACGCGTCTTAGTGGTAACACGTCTTAGTGGTAACACGTCTTAGTGATAACACGTGTTAGTGGTAACACGTCTTAGTGACAACACGTGTTAGTGATAACACACGTCTTAGTGATAACACGTGTTAGTGGTAACACGTCTTAGTGGTAACACGCGTCTTAGTGATAACACGCATCTTAGTGATAACACGTCTTAGTGATAACACGTCTTAGTGATAACATGTGTTAGTGATAACACGCGTCTTAGTGATAACACGCGTCTTAGTGGTAACACGTCTTAGTGATAAAACACGTCTTAGTGATAACACACGTCTTAGTGATAACACGCGTCTTAGTGATAACACACGTCTTAGTGATAACACGTCTTAGTGATAACACGTCTTAGTGATAACACGTGTTAGTGATAACACGCGTCTTAGTGGTAACACGTGTTAGTGATAACACACGTCTTAGTGATAACACGTCTTAGTGGTAACACGTGTTAGTGATAACACACGTCTTAGTGATAACACGTCTTAGTGATAACACACGTCTTAGTGGTAACACGTCTTAGTGATAACACACGTCTTAGTGATAACACGTGTTAGTGATAACACGTCTTAGTGATAACACGTCTTAGTGATAACACGTCTTAGTAGTAACACGTGTTAGTGATAACACGCGTCTTAGTGATAACACGTCTTAGTGATAACACGTCTTAGTGGTAACACGTGTTAGTGATAACACGCGTCTTAGTGATAACACGTCTTAGTGGTAACACGTGTTAGTGATAACACGCGTCTTAGTGATAACACGTCTTAGTGGTAACACGTGTTAGTGATAACACGCGTCTTAGTGATAACACGTCTTAGTGATAACACGTCTTAGTGGTAACACGTGTTAGTGATAACACGCGTCTTAGTGATAACACGTCTTAGTGGTAACACGCGTCTTAGTGATAACACGCGTCTTAGTGGTAACATGCGTCTTAGTGGTAACACGCGTCTTAGTGATAACACGTCTTAGTGATAACACGCGTCTTAGTGGTAACACGTCTTAGTGGTAACACGTCTTAGTGATAACACGTCTTAGTGATAACACGTCTTAGTGGTAACACGCGTCTTAGTGGTAACACGTCTTAGTGGTAACACGTCTTAGTGATAACACGTGTTAGTGGTAACACGTCTTAGTGATAACACGTGTTAGTGATAACACACGTCTTAGTGATAACACGTGTTAGTGGTAACACGTCTTAGTGGTAACACGTCTTAGTGGTAACACGCGTCTTAGTGATAACACGCATCTTAGTGATAACACGTCTTAGTGATAACACGTCTTAGTGATAACATGTGTTAGTGATAACACGCGTCTTAGTGATAACACGCGTCTTAGTGGTAACACGTCTTAGTGATAAAACACGTCTTAGTGATAACACACGTCTTAGTGATAACACGCGTCTTAGTGATAACACACGTCTTAGTGATAACACGTCTTAGTGATAACACGTCTTAGTGATAACACGTGTTAGTGATAACACGCGTCTTAGTGGTAACACGTGTTAGTGATAACACACGTCTTAGTGATAACACGTCTTAGTGGTAACACGTGTTAGTGATAACACACGTCTTAGTGATAACACGTCTTAGTGATAACACACGTCTTAGTGGTAACACGTCTTAGTGATAACACACGTCTTAGTGATAACACGTGTTAGTGATAACACGTCTTAGTGATAACACGTCTTAGTGATAACACGTCTTAGTGGTAACACGTGTTAGTGATAACACGCGTCTTAGTGATAACACGTCTTAGTGATAACACGTCTTAGTGGTAACACGTGTTAGTGATAACACGCGTCTTAGTGATAACACGTCTTAGTGATAACACGTCTTAGTGATAACACGTCTTAGTGATAACACGTCTTAGTGGTAACACGTCTTAGTGATAACACGTCTTAGTGGTAACACGTCTTAGTGATAACACGTCTTAGTGATAACACGTTTTCTGTCCAACGGTGGGGGGTGGTATTTATGGAAGGAAATAATGGATGCTTCTAATAACGATTTACCTCACTATTACCTATTTTTATTTTACCAGCTAAGGCCCAAATTTTGATTTAAAGCTGTCGTGACTGCAGGGATTCATATTCTTGGTTCTTTCGTTAAAGTCACATAGAAGGGAAACAATAAAATAAAAATATAAAACAATAAAATTCTCACGACGTTTCGACTGCAACACAAGCAATCATCATCAGGTATGAAAACCACAACAATTCATCATCAGGTGGTTTTCACACCTGATGATGATTGCTTGTGTTGCAGTCGAAACGTCGTGAGAATTTTATTGTTTTATATTTTTATTATTTTATTGTTTCCCTTCTACGTGACTTTACAGGTAAGGCCCATTGAGCTTTATATATTTTTTTTCCAGAAACGACCTGTCCACAAATTATATCTCATCGAAGTGGCTTATCACGTGAAAAATTATTGCGGCCAAATACTCTAAATGCGTGTTTATAAATGTGGAGGGAAAAACCGGAGGACCGTAAAAAAATCCACACGACCATGGGGAGAACACGAAAACTCCAAACAAAAAGGTCGGGATTGAACTCACGACCCTCCTTCATACCAGGCGAGGTATTTAACATCTCTACCGTCCCTTCGCTCACACCACCCCCCCCCCCACCCTTTGATACACATCCATTCGTGATGATTGCTGATGACAACTGCTTTAAATTGCCCCAGTGCAACACAATCCTGAGTCTTATGTTCTACCCCACATTGCCACCACTCGTGCGGCATGCCCTTCCCCCGACTGGCCGTGGCAATCCTAAGCTCCCGGTGCTGCCACTGACCGTGTGATTTGGCGCCCGTGGCGGAAGAGGCGTTGGCTGGCTGCTGTGGCATGACGGGCATGAGGGCGTGCCGGATGGCCATTTCCCACGCGTGCGCCACCTCGGCGCCGAGGCCCGAGTTGAGCAGGCTGTAGTCGCGGCTCGAGCCACCGCGGCCACCCCCTTCCTTGGGCCGCATCACGGCCTTTGCGTCGCCGTCGGCACCGGACTCCACCTTGGCGGCAAGGCCCAGGTTCTCGCCCACGTAGTATTCCATGGTGGAGGTGATGAGCTCGAAGCAGTGGGGGCGGCTCTGCGGGCCCAGCATGGTGAAGCTATGGGCAGCCTCCACGCGCAGGACCTCCGACAGCGGGATTTCCTGGTGGAGATCGTGAGCGGGAGAACGGGTCAGGCGGAGGCGTCGGCTCACGGTGAACTTTCCAAAGGGGTTGTTGATAGACGCCATCAAAAACCATCCCGCAGGTGGTCCTGGAAACAGCCATTTGTGGTGATGCGTTTGCCATGTCCTCTTGCATAAACAAAATGTTAGTGTGGTGGAGCTGGTGGTGGAGCTGGGTGAGGTGCTCGGGTGTTAAATTCTGGTGGCACACCGTGCACCCCCGCACACACCGGTTGTGCTGATGTTTCCTCCCGAGTCTTATCCTTTCAGCTATCCCATTTCAAAATATCCCTTCTTAAGGGAAGGACAATAAGCTTGTAATTAGCAATTTCATTCACATGGCATACGTACAAATCTTACAACATTGTTGTATTTGTTTCATCAGCAGTACATCACTGCATGTCTCACGTAACAATGGCGTGTGCAGCAGAAGCCGAGACTAAAAGCGCGGTACCTTGTAGTACTTGCTGCCCGTGTCCGATTGGAAGAGAGTGATGCACTTGCAGTCCAAGCGCCAATAGTGCCTCTTCCTCTGCAGGCGCAACGCACAATCCAAGTGAGAAAAGAATGTGCGTGTGCGCACATGTGTGTGTGTATGTGCGCTTAATGGAACATCTTCGCCGGTTAGAAACATTTAGGCTAGCCTGCCTACGATCCATCCTGGGTTTAACCAGGCTGGATTGTGTGAGGAGCTCACAAATCCTTGAAAGATCTGGGCAAGGTCCCATCGGTGAGCTCCTCCGGCAGGCAAGGCTGCGATGGCTGGGTCATGTAGCCCGCATGCCCAGCCACCGCATGCCGAAACAGCTTTTGTTCGGCCGGATCGAGGGGGCTAAACGGGCGCAGCACGGGCTAGAGAAGAGATGGAGTGATGTGGTACAGGAGGACGTGGAGCTGAGTGGACTTGCCGATGACTGGTACCAGCGGTGTCAAGATCGGCCTCTGTGGAGGAGGCTCATGAAGGACGCTACTGGGCAGTTGGAGGCAGTCGCCCTCCAACAACAACGGCGGAGGAGCGACGCTCACAACAACGAGCGGAGCGCCGGGTGGCTAAAGCACAGGAGGTTGGCACAGTAGGGGGCACAGGTGGTGCATCAGCCAGTCATCTCAGTCAGTCGACCCGTGGCACCTGGGTCTGCCCCGTGACCTCCTGCCAGCGGGCGTTCGACACTTCACGTGGCCTCAAGGTGCACATGGCCTGGCACAAGCGTCGTGGTGACGTCACCGCCACTTAGTGGCGAATGGCGATTGTTGTTGTTATTGTTGCATGCACGAGTGGTCGTGTAACGGTTAGTGCGCTATGCTACGAGCTCGGTAACCTGCACCTCTGATTAGCATGGTTGGCTTCGTACGGTGCAAAAAAAATTCAACATACGTACATACATTTTACTTTATTATAAGGCGCAGCGGACCCAACAAAGGGCTGCAGAGAGCACCGTACATAATAAAAAAAATTATATAAAGCTCTAGTTTATCGAACATATCATAGGTAATAATTATGTTTTTAGTTGCTTTTTAAATGGGAGAATATCTGCGGTCAGGGTGCAGTTCTAGAGGCAGAGTGTTCCAAATGTGAGAGCCAAGGACCGAAAAACTTCGAGCTCCAAAACTTTCTGGCGTAAGCGTGGCTGACAGAGGAGCCCGGTCACGTGCGAGGACCTCAAACTCTGAGAAGTAATGTAAAGCTGCAGTTTATCGGTGATATATTAAAGCAATCGCTGAAGGAGTGCTTTGTGCATTAAGCACAGTGATTTAAATCGTGCTGCTGTGGTTCCTGCTGCGTGTGTGGCTCTCACGAGGTTGTCCTTGTTGGTGAAGTGAACCATCCAGCCCTCGCGCAGCACGGTGCTTGACCGCCGTTTCGTCTGCCGCACCGACTGAATCACGCGCATCAGCGGGATGTTGCTTGCAGTTTGCCTTTTGAAGTGCACACGCACATACACAGACACAGGCACACACAAGCCGAGGACGGAAGAGTTGACACGAGAGATGGCCCGATCCTCGTTTTGCTTTATCCCTTTAACTCGGGCGTCCGCCCTCACACGGCGACAGGTTCCGCACGTCTCACCCGATTGGGCGGTCAGGAAACAAGTCCGGGTCGGCGTCTTCTGGCATGTCGACGTCGCCCTGCGGGTCGGGCTCGCTGCTCCTCCCGCTGCTGTCGTCGCTGTTCTCCTCCATCACCACGTCGCTCTCTCCTACCCGGCGCACGCGACGAGCACAACGCGCCCAATCGCAGGTGCGTGGGTTAGCACGAATCCACGAGCGGGCAATATCAATTACGAGCTACGGACTGCGGCAGGGGCCACTGCACGATTGAACTATGTGACCCGAGTTGAATCAGTGGCAGGTGACATGCAAACAAGTCCCTGGCGTCACTTCGCCAAAACAGATTGTTTAAATACATAAATAATAATTGACATCCATTTGTCAATCCACTGCTGGATGAAGGCCTCCCCACGCAGTGTCGGGTCATGGGAGCTGTTTGACAATTCTCCAACATGCAGGTCACTGCGGGATGGTGAAGTAGGGGTATTGGGATCAGTACAGATATCACTCGCCATCAGGGGCGGAGCCAGGATTTTGACTTTGGGGGGGCTGACTTCAATATTCTGAGATATCCAGTGTAATGTTTTCCAATGGGCGCCACAAATGTATAAAACAAATTCTATTGGATTTGAACGCAGAGTTTATTAATAGGTCGGAGCCGCCGATGTGGCTAATAAGTTCGATAAGTTCTGCCGCTCAAGCAGCCTGCAGGGCAGCACAAGGTGGCAGCCTGCAGGGCAGCACAAGGTGGCAGCCTGCAGGGCAGCACACGAGGTGGCAGCCTGCAGGGCAAAGCACACGAGGTGGCAGCCTGCAGGGCAGCACACGAGGTGGCAGCCTGCAGGGCAGCACAAGGTGGCAGCACAAGGTGGCAGCCTGCAGGGCAGCACAAGGTGGCAGCCTGCAGGGCAGCACACGAGGTGGCAGCCTGCAGGGCAGCACAAGGTGGCAGCCTGCAGGGCAGCACAAGGTGGCAGCCTGCAGGGCAGCACAAGGTGGCAGCCTGCAGGGCAGCACAAGGTGGCAGCTTGCAGGGCAGCACAAGGTGGCAGCACAAGGTGGCAGCCTGCAGGGCAGCACAAGGTGGCAGCACAAGGTGGCAGCCTGCAGGGTAGCACAAGGTGGCAGCCAGCATTTTGCAGCAGCTGGATATCCGGTTATCCCGATTATCGACTTTCCCAAAATTTCAGGGGGGGCTAAGCCCCCCCCAGCCCCCCCTGTAGCTCCGCCCCTGCTCGCCATTGGCGTTGGCCATGGCCAGGAATCTAACTCGGGTCACCGGATTCAAAGCACAGTGCGCATTTAACTGCTGAACAACCAGTCCACTCCAAAAATGTATTCACAACTGAAGCGCATTTTGAGACTGTGAAGAATATTTAGAAGAGGACGTCGCATAGAACAGGACCCTACCTCCATTGAAAAGTGTTTCGCCAATGCACTCCTTGGGTACCTTGGCGGCACAGCGATTGTGACAGTTAAACTTGCAGTCTGTGGGACACAGTCACAACGCATCACGCACTTAACACAGCAGCTGCAGAGGAGGTGTGCAACCCACATCCACCACGAATAAACACGAAGCATTAGCTTTGCTCGTAAACTACATTCAAACTGTTTTGAGTCTATAAAAATACGTTCACGACTTGCTGTGTTTCTTCCATGTGAAATGTACACATGCAGACAGGGCAATGGGCACTAGCAGCTCAAGTAGAACGTTTCACTCGCCTGTCATTTACAAAAAAACAAGTTCAGGGGTAAAAAAAAACCCACAACAGACTAAATGTGTTTTATGCAACTTGTCACTTGTATTGATGACACTGGACACTGTGGCACAAGATGCACGTGTGCACACAGACGTCACTCGCTCACCGGCAGCCATACGTCTCCTTGTCACGCATCTATTGCTGCTACCATGGTTACTCCTCCCGTAAAATTCACTCATCGATTCCTCCACCTGTGTTGTTGAGGGCTTGGCCCACCAGACTGACTTGTTTCGTCTCAACCACACTGCGTTCAACTACCAACACTGCAGGTCACCTCACTTTTCCCTTTCCAATTGTTCCCTCGCAATGCTCCCACTTTGGAATTCCGTCCCATCGTCCATTCTCCAAAACTCTCACAACAACCGTTGTTTGACTCAATCAACGTGTGAACTCTTATCTCTTACAACTTTGACGGTGATATTCTGTTGCTGGCCCCTATTGCGTTTTGTGCCTTCGGGCGCAAGCTGTGCAACTGTATTGAACATTTCTAAATGTGCCAGTGCAGCACACTCATGCACTGGCGGGATGTGCGTGCGTGTGCGCACATACAACAGCGGAGGGCAAAGGAGCGATGCTCACAAACAATGAGCGCCGGGTGGCCAAAACACAGCAAGTTGGCATAGTAGGGGGCACAGACGGTGCATCTGCGAGCCACTGCAGTCAGTCAACCCACGGCACCTGGCTCTGCCCCGTGACCTCCCGTCAGCGGGCGTTCGACACTTCACGTGGCCTCAAAGTGCACATAGCCCGGGCACAGGTACTGTGGTGTTGTTGTTGTTACACGTACCCCTGCATTGCAGCCCCTGGCGGAAGATGCCTTTGAGCAGGCGACGGCAGTGCTGGCACATGGTGGGGAGCTTGTAGGAGTGGGTCACGAACGTGTGCGGCACCTTCACCTTGCCCGCCACGGCACGGTCCACCCACACGGGGCGGCCGCTCCACGAGGCCGTGCGCTTGTCGCGCCACGCCAGCGGCGTGCTGTCCGAGCGCTGCCAGGGCGGGGCGGGAGAGCGAGGCCGGGGCCCGGGGGCGAGGGGGCAGCCGCACATGGTGTCACGGGGTTTTCGTACACGGGCAACCCTGGCAGGATCTTCGCGTGCAATGGTTCGTGGGTTTCCGCGTGAGATTGTCGCCTGCGGCGTTTGTTTCATTTTGGGTTGATAAATAGCAAGTGTATTTATCGATAACGCTAGTGGCGGCGGGTTGATGAAGCGGGAAGGGAGGGGACCGGTTCAGATGTCGTTAGCCGCTGATGTTGGCCGTGGCTAGCAAAATCCAATTTAGGATGCTCACTCCTCATGCAGTTTGTGAATATTTTTGTAACCGGTCTACCCCTTACTTCAGGATATCTACAAGAACTGTTTACCTTTAAATGTACCAACATACATAATTCTGAGTAATTGTTTTTTACACAAGGCCCAGGGTGTGATGACAAAATCGATGTCAGGAGCCACATTAGACACAGTTGACCTATCGTACATGGTGGCAGCCGACTGCTGAAGACGGCCCACGGCTGTCTATCTCTGTTATTGTTGTCTATCACTGCATGACTGCTGCTTTCAATTAGTCACATTTGCTCAAATGTATTTTGATGGTGATCTAAGACAAGAGAATCACAATGCACCTCTTCAGTAATTGCTGATGGATTTTTGCATAATACACCAAGGCATTGTGCCCTATACACATTTTTTTCATCCTTTTTGAAACATACAACTGACTGCTGTCGAATATTTACGTACATTTCAGCATTCTTAAGCAGCACCCAGAGTCACAATCCTCACGTGCATGACAAGTCAACTGTGTCTCACGCGGCCCCTGACATTCCTGTGTGTTGCTGCAGAGTTTCAGGGCCATTTAGGGCAACTGCATGGGGGTTGAGAGCCGTGGGGCAAAATCCAAGATGAGGCGCCCCTAATCCTCAAGCTAAGCTAACCCACTTGCCCCAAATCTCTACCACCCTGGGGCCATTCATAAAGTTGAAATTGGGGACCCCTGATTTTATAAATATCATCATGTTCGAATACTGCAGAACAAAGTTGCGATTTTTGGGGGTTATTTGTGCTTGTGCACCACCACCAACGCTGTAACACCGCGTAACTAGTTTAACACAAACAAGCTGGTCACTACTAGTCAACAGCAACAGCAGAGAGAAGCGGTGAGGCCTGATCGACAAGGAAGCCGAGACTTGGGAGTGAAAAGCTGATGCCATCATCACCTCTGTCCACTAGAGGGAAACCACACATCATTCGCACAGTCGCCTGGCCACTTTGAGTTTTATAACCCAATCGGACATTATCCGTGGTGACATCGTCAACCATGGCAATGTGTCCTGCCGTTGGTGATGGGGTCAAAGACACTCCTTTTTTACCCCGACACAAACGGGGCTAACATTAATTTTAGTCACAATGTCAATCTGACCAAAAACGCCGTATAAAAGTGTGTGGGTGTGCAAATGTGTTTGTGCATAAGGGAAGTAGAGCTTACCCATGAAACAGAAAGCCTTAGGAGAGTGTGAGCAGCCAGATAAAGAACAACGCAAGGGGAGTGAGAGGGGGGGTAGAAGACGTCTGAGACGGAGAGAAAGAAAGAAAAATGGAGAGGAGAGAGAGTCACAAAACAAAGATGTGAGAAAAGAGAGACGCATCTAAGTTACATGAAAGTTGTGTTCATGTTATATTACACCGAGCATGTTATATTACACTGGGAACGATTTTATTTTTTCTGCGTCATTTGTCGGGACATCTGGGTCGCTGAAAATGCTCCTCAGCAAACTTTTGAAAGGAACACATTTGAACGATACATTTCTGAGTGTGCACAGAAGGCGGGCCTTGCCGCCCTTCACCACTGACGGCTCGGAGCCTCACGCCTAGGCCTCAGGCACAGGAGGCACAACATAGCTCAAAAATTCAAGCATCTATCATTAGCAACCCCTGATTAAAAAGTCGAGGGATGGAACAAGTAGGCATCTTTTTCGTTAAAAACGCTGGCAAGCATGCCCACACCCTTCCAGAATTTACTCAAGGCGTTCATGTTCGCACACCACATTTCTCAAAGTCAAAAAATATAAACAAACACGCCCCTTCAGTCCCCCTCAAAACTGTCAATATAGCTCGGATAGTATTTAGAGTAAAAAAAACACATTCACATGAGAATAAAACAATAAAACAAAATAAGGCAAGCTGTCGCTTCAATGAACCGCTGTCGTCCCGACATTTCTGTTCCTTCACCTGAAGAAGGCTACTTGTCTTCTTTGGTTCTTTCGGTAAAGTCACGTAGAATGAGAATAAAATAATAAATTGATAAAATAAAATAACACAATAATATTCTCACGACGTTTCGGCCATAACACAAGCGGCCTTCATCAGGTGAAGGGGACGAGACTGTCTGGAGGACAGCGCTGTCCTACCAGACAGTCTCGTCCCTTCACCTGATGAAGGCCGCTTGTGTTGTGGCCGAAACGTCGTGAGAATATTATTGTGTTATTTTATTTTATCAATTTATTATTTTATTCTCATTCTACGTGACTTTACCGAAAGAACCAAAGAAGATGAATCATTGCAGTCACGAAAGCTTTAAATCGAAATTTAAGGCTACTTGTGTTGTAGCCAAAACGTCGTGAGAATTTTATTGTCTTATTTTGTTTTAATGTTTTATTCTCATTCTACGTGACTTTACCGAACGAACCAAGAAGATGAATCCTTGCAGTCACGAAAGCTTTAAATCGAAAAATACATCCATATGAGTTTAAAAAAAAATCATTTATCACAATTTCTCTGACAGGGGAGGAGACAGCCTTTTGTAGCAAGCCTCTGCTCCCACACCCACAACTGCTTTGAAATCAGCAAAAAGAGCGAGCTTTGGCATTTCACTTTAAAAGTAAGCTTCTAGCAATTGCGAGAGGGGAAAAAATAGTTGAACCTTATATTCGCAGCGTTCCAAGCTTGAGCAGAAACAGACACAAGCACAGAGAGGTTGGTGGTTTGCACACCCATATGTTGGAAAAGACCATGATACATTTTTCTGCATAACTATGATCACGTGGCTAGAGGCAATGGCAAAATGACAGAGTTGTGTCGAACCAACGCAATTTATTTTATCAAATAGTGTGTTTTATCATCAATGCTTGGTCTAACAGAGCACACAACCTCCACTATGTGACAACTGTCTGCGATCCAAATGGACGTCACAATCCCAGTTACACCCTAGTGGGAGCAGCAATTAGACGTATCCACATTTGGACAACTACATTCTTTTTTTTTAACAATAGAAAGTGGTGCAGAAACTGCTGCTGTCGACGACTGCACTAAAATTACCATAGTGGTACTCAAGGTGTTATTTGGTGCGAGCCAGATCACACTCTGGGAGATGCCAAACAACAAAAGAGACACCCCGCTTTGACTGAGCAAGGATGGCGGCGCGTGTCGAGCAACGCTCACCAGGGAGCACGAGTCGTCGGAGCTTCCTGTCGAGTGCGTGGACTGCCGTCGCTTGCGCATGCCGCTGCAGTTGTTGGGGATCTTGAATGCGCAGCGCTTGTGGTAGTTGAGTCCACAGCCTTCACACACGAAGTGCACGCCATAGCCACGCACAAAGACAAAGATCCCCCGCATAGCCTTCAACAAACTGTTGGGAAAAGTGCTTTTAAGCGGGCACCTATGAAGGCCGGCATGGTACACGAGGGGGTTGGGTGTCCAGCACTACCCCTGACCATCTTTGTCTCCCCAGTAGCGATATTTTTACACATCGCACCAGGTCCTCGTTTGAAGCTGAGTCGACCTAGGGGAGGCCCAAGACCGATTCAGATAATCGTGACTGGTGTTGGCCACGAGTGGGAATATAACTGCAGTGTCCGGGTTTGTAGTGCAGCACGCTAACCGCTAAACTACCACTCCCCACAGCCACACACACAAAGACGAGCACACACGCATGCACATGACAACATTTCACCCGTATCACTATTAGCAGACTTTTGGAGCACTATTAGCAAGCCCCTATGAAGGAATCAAACCCGGCCACCTTTGCCTCCCTACCACGAATGTTCACACACTGCAATAGGTGCTCATTTTCGGCCAAGTTGAACCATGGAAACTCGAGTTCCACTGATGTTATCCATGGCCAAGAGTCAAACCCAGGCAGTCGAGATCATAGCGCAAAGCGTAATCCATTGCAGCGCGACCACGCAACAATTAGTGCTTTAGCCAGAACAGCAAATTGGTGAGTCAAATGGTAAAACTTTAGTTGTACCCATTACGGAAAGTATTTTGTGATAGAGGTGAAACAATACATAGATTCATAAATTAATATCAATATTAAAGCACACCATACATGCATTGGCATGTGTGTAAAAACTGATTTTGTGGTCGGGGGGGGGGGAGTGAATCCATAATATAAATTCACTCAAATACTCAAAACCTTTTGTGAAGGTGGGCACAAGTGGTAGTGTAGTGGTTATTGCACTGCACTACTAATCCCAGCTAAGTGAATTTTGATTTCAGGAAAAGGTTAACATCAGTGGCAAGTGATATCTATACCGATCCTGGCTCCCACACTCTAACACGTATTTACCAGCATGGTGAATTATAAACAATCCCTATAGCTAACATGGTGTCAGGAGGCCTTCATCCGGTGGTCGGTTGACAAAATGGCTGAATGTTCACACGACAAAGCAACCATATGCACCCTGTGCGTGACACCGCTGTACACTACCCTGAGTTTGAGCTCACTACATGGGTACATTTCACAGGCAGGAGTGGAAGGCAGGGGGGGAAAAAATGTAGTTCAAGTCTGAGTGAATCACCGTGACCGGCGGTAATTACCTCTGGCCAGGCAGGTTGGGGGCCAAGGACAGTTTTTACTTCACATTGTTTTGCCTGCGCCACCAGATGTGGTGAGATAACTTTCATGGACTGGCGACAGACACTTGGCGTCTGTCGCCAGTCATCCGGAATGCCACCACATCACCCTCCTTTCCTTTGCTGCTGCTTATAAGATCCAATAGCAAGTCCTTGCAATTGCACCGAATGTATGCTACGAAGAAAGGCCAACCACATGGCTGATGTCTGAAACATTTAGTCTGACAAAAGGCAACTGAAAAAAACATTACTAACGTGAATATCTTTGTGCCGAGGCGAACACCAGAACAGCTCAGTATAAAGTCTCGTAACTTAAAATGCAGCTCAAATCGAAACCCGCGACGAGAATGATCGTGACTAATCAAGAATCCCACGGGTGTTCCCAGCCACTACGACTGGACCCTGCGGGCATTGCGTGGGAGTTTCAAGGATCGCGTGCGTTTGAGCGTGCGTGCTACCTAAACACACGCTGTCAATGTGACTCATTCGAGCTGGGAGATGTGCAGAGGTTCTCATCCCAAGGCATCTCCCCAAACAAATGGTGACGTGAAGCGAGAGCAGATCTCAGCATGCCTCCTGACACATGTTGCAGCGACAACACAGCCTTGCTATGAGGAAGCCGCAAGACCTATGCATACTCTTTGGTTCTATTGGGTAAAGTCACGTAGGTGAAAATAAAATAACAAAAAATCACGACGTTTCGGCCACAACACAAGCGGCCTTCATCAGGTGAAGGGACGAGACTGTCTGGAGGACAGCGCTGGAGTCGACTGGACTCCACCTGATGAAGGCCGCTTGTGTTGTGGCCGAAACGTCGTGATTTTTTGTTATTTTATTTTCACCTACGTGACTTTACCCAATAGAACCAAAGAGTATAGATCCTAGCAGTCACGAAAGCTTTAAATCTAGAAGACCTATGCACTTTCAAAATTTCAAACTAATTTCTTAAGAACTGCTTTTTGTGTTTGGTTTAGTTGTCCTTCCCCCGCAACCTCTGATTAGTACAGTTGCCTACAAACAGCGCGAAATAAGTTCAACGTACATGCAACTTTGTCGGGGCTTTAAAGTTTCACTGCCTTGTCTAGCACATCCTGGCAAAATGTCTTAAGCAAAATGTCTCGTCAAATATTCGGGTGAAAAACGTGTCTTGGCAATCTTAATGAAGCTAACGGTTACTTAATCAAGTGGAGGGCATTCAGATTCATTATTTTACTTTGAAAAAGTAAAGTTTAGAAAACAGAAATAATAGTACATTTCTTGATTACATTTTTGTAAGTTAGATGTGCAATTAAATATTGTGAACCCAACGGGTAATGCAACAAAATGGGTTGTTCTTGCAAAGGGCATCCAACAGTCCTTAAATCCACTCAGTGTAGACTACTCACTTTGCTTCATTCCTGTATGGAAATTACCAGGCGGAGTCAACAGTTGAGGCACTTAAGAGATTTTGCAATGTCTAGGTGTTAAACAAAGCACCTTATTTGCCTCTTTTGCAACGCGTTTGCAAAACAATGAGCCATTAAAATCAATCGCGGACTCATGTCTACGTATAACAAAGTAGAGGTATGGAGAGCCCACCGGCTCCCCTCAACTGCACCGTGAGCGGGCTCCTGGGTCTCACCCTCGCACTTGAGGCCCTGCCGCACAAGACCAAACAGCATCTCCCCACAGTGGTCGCAGAACGTGGGCGACTTGTACGAGTGCACGAAGAGAGCATGCTGCCGGATCTGGATGTCCTCCAAAGTCGCCGATCCTGCCAGGAGGGGGTGGGGTGAGGTGAGTAGAACGCGAGGGCAGAACGAGAGATGGATGAGGGGATGAGAGGGCAGGTGGAGGGGGTGAGCATTTTACAGCGGCTGGCATCCCTGGTGTGCAATCACCACCACCACCAAAAGGTGTCATTTCAAGTCCAGTAATTATAAGAGGGGGGGGGTGGGTATAAACTGTTTAAACTGCTTAAATACAGGTGGGGCGGGGTTTTTGCGACAGACACTGCCTTCCAGGAATAAGTGGGTGATTTGTGCAGCTGGCTTCAAAGTTGCTCCGCTCATAAAGACACAATCAGCACACAATGAGGCTTTATGTAGACTTGGTCTACAATGCGCACTTCAAGCAACGTGGCAGGCTTTCTGCCTTGGTCACTGAGACAACGCGAAAGCAGACACTTAATGAGCGCTGGCTTGGTGGCACGACCATCAGGCGCTCGCTGCTGCGGCGTCGCCGTCATCCTCATGCATTCATGCAATCTACCAGGGTCAACGAAACGGCACGCACGCGGCGCAGCCAGTGCTGCCTTCCCTGTGCCCAGGATCGTCCTCTTTTTGAGGCAGCGGTCCCAGGAAACCTGCAAGTCTCTCCGGGGGCATTAGAATCACCCTTTTTTTTTGTCAGCGGCGGAATAAGATGTTCGTCTCTCCCACGATATGGCCCTGATTCTCTTGTACCCTCGTAGGTGGCAATCCTCGATACAGCATCCCGACGGGAAGGAGGGGGCTCTGCAGCGGTGGTGGTGGGGGGGGCCAGCCATGTTTGAACGACGACCGACGGGGCAACCAGTGTTGTGGTGCACGGGAAGCGGTGAGGCTCGGGTGGGACCGGCACGCCTAGACCTGCCCGGCTCCCAGCCCGGCTACGCTAGGCCTCCCCTTGGGCGTTTTCTCACGCTCAGAGCCACCCACAATTACACTAAATTCTCGGGCTGCTGTAGCAGGTTGGATTCGAATTCACAACAACAACCGGACACTCTTGCCGGTGCACATGCCACCCACAAACTAAAAAAACTTACGAAAGGTCCCCTGTTTGGCCTTATAGACTGTTCTGGCAAGTACTGTTATAATGAGCACCAATTAAGGAAGGAAAGGCATATGCTGTATTGGTGTGGCAAGGAACATTCCTGGCCAGCTCCCTTTTGTTTCTTCGGCATCAATGCCAACACATTACACCTGGTACATAACTCATTTAAGGCTGAGTTGACATAGTAGAGGGACAGGACAGGTTTGTTTTCCAAATTCCAAGAGTGTTATGCATGGCCAATACCAAGGTACAGTTGGCTCCATTCCAAAGGGAAAAGCACACAGATTATTTTACTTTTGTGACAACTGTATTTCAGCTGTGCACACAAGCGAGACACGAGTGATTAAAGTTAACAACCCCTAGGGGCAAGCACTCACGGGGCATAGCCCTTTAATACAAACTCACGGATCAACACCGGGACTATAAAATATTTCCTAAACATACAGTAAGTATCATGTCATTGAAAATAACTCTGCATACACTAAAGTTAACCGCCACAACGAGCCGCTTCAATATTAATGTATGGGCCTACAGAAGAACTGTAAAAATTCACCTCGACACCGAAGTGAACGGCTAAAACGTGCTGTATTATTGTTGCCAACAGCACCTCTCTCTCTGGGTGACATTGGCATGGTTGTGTGTGGCAGCAGCTGCCGCGTTGACACAGCCAAAATAAATACAAAATAGAGACAACTTTAAAACCAATCCTGGTGACATTTTTACAGCCAATTTCCCACAGCCATCAAGAATGAAAATGCACGAGTTAGCACAACGTCGATAGCGTTATTTACTTTTGACGCAAATCCGCACAAAGCCAAGCAAGCGGTGAAGTCACAGATTTCTGGCCGGAATTTACCCGAGAATGTTTTTTCTGGAAAGTCTGTGGCACCGTCGTTCTTGGCGGCATCCATTCATACGGTCACGTCGCTCGCAATAACGTTAAGTGGCCGTATTCCCCCCCCACCCCCTCTGGGGATTGACTGTAAAATCAGAGCTCACTGAGCAGAGACACCAGCCTAGACCCACACTGCAGCCGGCAGCCAAGTTCGGCCACAGCACTGTGCAATTTGGCAATTTGTTTACTAAATATTTATTAACACAAACGGTATCGCACATCATCTGCTGTTCTTGTGTTTAGGATGTAATGTGATGATCTGATTCGATACTGGGCTTCCTCCGAAGTCGACCCAGGCGTAATATGGTAACTTGCCGACCCGCCCATACTGGAAATATGTGAAAAAAAGCTTCATAGCTCATCAGATCCCTCTACTCTCAAAAAAGAATCTGATTCTGCTTATGATTATACGTTGATTTAACTTTTTTTTTATCCCAGCTGTACATTTTCACGTTTTAATTAACAGCATATATTTTGTAACGCCGCATACACAGTAACTTTCCACTGTTTTGCACGCCAACTCCTAGGCCCCTGGACCCTAGCACATGCGTTTCTCATCTCCTTTTGCTCCTCGCATCTCCCTCGCAAGGCAGGAGCCAGAAGGGCAACGGGGTGAATCTCCACGAGCAGCGCACGCCGACACACCCACAGCGAGGAGGCCGGACGCACGTGATGACCGAGAAACAAGAATATATGTATACGTACAGTATTCGCCGAAACTGCATTGGTGCACAAGCACAAATAACAAACAAAAACTCAGCCACGTTCATCAACAAGAGAGGTCACCTCTCTCGGCCATGAAGAAGGGCCACTGCTCAAAATGTTGCACATTGGATACTTAGTAATAATAATGAAAGGCACATTTTCTTTGTCCCAGCGCCATAGTTCAGAGCAAATGTCAGAATCTTTATCTTAATTTATTTTCATTTTTTGACAATCAGAATCCTTACTTATACCGGAGGAATCCGATGAGCTATTAAAAGCACTTTATTCACAGATGTCCAGTAGATGTCACGAGACCTACGGCGATGCTCGAGCGTCGAGATGGGATGGATCGAAGGTCCCCTGGCGGAGCCATTCCCAGACCGATGGAGCGGCGACGCGAAACGTCCTGCCGGCCACTCCGGTTCTAGGCGCAGCGCTGCGGGTGAATGCGTTCGCGCGTGCGCCGCGAGCGCACGATCTCGCCACGTCGAACGCGTGACGGCGTTCGGGCGGCCCACGTCGCGTACGTCGCTCGGCGAGGGAGCGAGTGGGCACCGCAATGGGCGCGCTCCCGATTAGCGCACGGCGTCAACGCCGCTCACGTTACCCGCCGCCGTTTAGTGTTCCCGTGCACTGTATGGGAGTAGCATTGCTTCGTCAGCCGAGGTGGGGGAAGGTGGGGGGGGGGGGGGGGGCCGTGAAAATTTACGACAAAGCTGACAAACGTAGCCCGGCGATTCGCCGGACGTTGTGGCCATGGTATGGGTGGCACCGTCACTACTTTGCGCGTTGATCATTTTCGTTTGTCTGCAACATTGCAGACATGAATGCGTCAATGTTCCACAATGTTTTACAGGATGCTCTTGACTTTGTCGTCAGTACTGTATTATTATGATTATTATCATTGTGCTCGTTTTACCCAGGTAAGCCTGACTGAGTCTCACGATTCTTTTTTCAGGCGGGTCCTGCCAAGGTGACAATTGAGCAATTCAAAGTTTCCAATTTACGTTGTGTATTTTTTGTAATATTGCACTGCAAAATGCACTAAGTTAACAGTAATTTCCACAATTTTTTTATGTTTATTCTTGGTACCCGGACATGATCGAGGGGTGCAGAAATGGGGGGGGGGGGGGCAAAGAAGAGGAAATGCTGAGGCATTCGTTTCAAACGGGCTAACTCCCTGGCGTCACCACAAACAGTGACGAGTGGCAAAGTTGTGTCTGCGAAGCGAACAACCGCTAGCTCAATGGTCAACGGTGAGAAGCGGTCTCTTCTGTGTGGAGGAACTGTAGCCAAGGGGATAGGACTCGTGGTGGCTTACTTTAACATATGAATTAAGTGGCAGCTTTGAACCCTTGCCTCGGATTACATGGGGTTTGTTTTACCCACCCCCCCCCCCCCTTGGCTTCAGCACCTGTCCACTGAGTGACACTATTTATAATGTATGTAATCTATAGTGGATTCCACTTGAAATGTGGTCTGGTTAACTGTAAAATCCATGTCTTCATAGAGATATGTGATTTTCCACTGCCAATTTTGCCGCATCTGGCCGTGACCCAACGGTGACATGCTGACTTTCCAATGCATACGAATCTACCCTCTCGGGGCTAAGTAGGACCAGGGATGGAGCGAACGTGTTCAATGCGTCTGTCGGTACACTGAGGGCACCGTATCACCGCGTCACCTACACGCATTTCGACGTCACACATTGCATGCGATGTCATCGGCACGGCTCGGCTTCTGTCGGGGTGTAAGTGGTAGGCTAACTTACCCAGGTCTGCCAGTAGTGTCCACTCGGACTGTATATAAACCACGATGAGCGAGAGAGACTTACTGGACAGGACCACCTCGATGAGGTCGCCCTCCTTCACGCTCTCCGCCGACGTTAGCAGCTGCAGGACGTTCTCAGACTGCGGGTCATGGCGGAAGAGCAGGATCTTCTCGTACATGCCGTAGAAGCCGCACTCCGGGAACTACGACACAGATGCATGGAGACATCGCACTCGCGGTCAAAAAAACATCCCACACTCATTGCCATGGCTGAGGCCAGAAAGGGGGCCTTGAATTGACAAAATGTGGACTTGGTGGCTTGGGCCCATTATCTCGAAGCCAGCCAGCCGCTTTTGTTTTGTGTTGTATATATGAAATCCCAAAAATCCATATGTACACTGTTTCTACAAACTCACACGTGCATGCCCATACACATATAAATGCATTACAAGCATTACTCATACTCGTAGACATTACTCATACTTGTCTGCATTTGTCGTATGAGCCAACATGATGTGACAACCAACAATCAAACCGTGTTTGAGGTTTTACTAACTGTTGGGTGAAGGCTCCCCCACGCCGTGTTGGTCATAACAGTTGTTTGACCATACTTCACCATTTAGGTGAATGCGGATTGGTGAAGAGGGTGGAGCCCAGGACCGGTTGAGATATTATCTGCCACTGGCACGAGCCATGACGGGTAACTTGGGTCACTGGGTTTCGTAGCATAGTTCATAAACCACTGCACGCCACCACCTCGGCATCAGTTTTGAAAATAATTATATATAGCCCCTTTGTAAATCTACTGCTAGATGAAAGCCTCCCCACTCTAATTTCAGTTGTCATCATGCTTACCAGAAGTCAATCCCTTAAGTTATTCGAATGATACAAAATGTCAAAAACGATTAACAGGGCCATCGAACATGCGTCAAGACACCCAGCAATGTTTAATTTCACAAAATGCAACTTTGTATTGCGGGAAAAAAAGGTAAATTATAAAATAAGCACAAGGATGGAAATTGATCCACTCCGACTTGCATTACATGTACCGTCCCTGAAGGGCATCACAACATTTCGTCTGTTTGTTATCGCGTCCTGCCCAACATGTGCTACAGACACAAAACCAAAACACACGCTCTTCCCGTATACCTTTTCCCGAAAGCAGGTGCTCTCCTAAATGCTCTGTTAGAAATGAGGGTATTGCCGCAGGGACAGATAGCTAAGCCTCGCAAACACCGGCAATGAAATAAAGGTGGCGAAGAATGTTTTGTACATCGACGTTTTTTCCAAAAAGACAAAAACAAAAGGTTCTGCAGCATGAGAAAAGAATTCGTGATTCAACATCCTCGCTCAAATAGCGCAGAGATAAATTAGGAACACGACAATGTCAAAGCCCCCCACGTGCTCAGAGCAAGTGAAAATGGCAATGAGGGCGTTTGAGTCTGGCGGATCTCACTGACGACAGACACGGCCAACGGTCACTCGAGCAGCCGACCCAAGCGGGACCACTGAGTCTGAGAGGACACTGCCAAAACGATGTGTTTTACATGGCCGCTTCATCGCTGGCCACGATAATCCGCGGCCACATCGCACTGCATACTGCCCTGGGGCCCGAGCTGAAGATTGTGTTGTTTAAGCCAAAAAGGGAGAAAAAAGAAGTTCCGCTTTGCACTCAATCGACGATCTGTGAGCCTTCAGAGAATTTCAACATTACCTGCACGCTAGAGGGAAAGGCTTTTTTTTTTAAACAGCCCCCATACAAAAACGCTTTCAGTTTTCAGAGGCGTTAAAGTGCCTAAAAACCAGTGGGACAGTTTTTGTTGGCTGAGAAACGCTCCTGCTGGCTCCAGAGCTGGCAGGGTGCAAGTAGCAACGGGGCTGGGGCGCGCAGCCAGTATGGAGGAGTGGAATTCGGGGAAGAGAGGTCAGGTAATTGCCAAAGATGTGGAGAAATAAAACTAAAAAGAGGCTGATGATTGTCAAGGAGGCAAACACTTCGTTATCACAAGGGCAGGGAGTGTGTTCTTGCTTTCCATGCAGTGAGATGCACGGATACACCCAAGTGCTCAATCATTGGCAGTTCTTTGTGCCAAAACTCTGCTAAACACAGTGCCAAAGCTTCTCAAACAGTGTTTTTTCCAATATATTAATAATTATAAGAGTATTTATTAAAATACACTGCCTTAACCCAAACATCACTTTCACCATTTGTACAGGGTTCAAGCAAACTTTGCTTTGTGAGCGAAGAAAAAACAATGCTCCTCCTGTATGTACAGTGAGGGAAAAAAGTATTTGATCCCCTGCTGATTTTGTACGTTTGCCCACTGACAAAGAAATGATCAGTCTATAATTTTAATGGTAGGTTTATTTGAACAGTGAGAGACAGAATAACAACAAAAAAATCCAGAAAAACGCATGTCAAAAATGTTATAAATTGATTTGCATCTTAATGAGGGAAATAAGTATTTGACCCCTCTGCAAAACATGACTTAGTACTTGGTGGCAAAACCCTTGTTGGCAATCACAGAGGTCAGACGTTTCTTGTAGTTGGCCACCAGGTTTGCACACATCTCAGGAGGGATTTTGTCCCAATCCTCTTTGCAGATCTTCTCCAAGTCATTAAGGTTTCGAGGCTGACGTTTGGAAACTCGAACCTTCAGCTCCCTCTACATATTTTCTATGAGATTAAGGTCTGGAGACTGGCTAGGCCACTCCAGGACCTTAATGTGCTTCTTCTTGAGCCACTCCTTTATTGCCTTGGTCGTGTGTTTTGGGTCATTGTCATGCTGAAATACCCATCCATGACCCATTTTCAATGCCCTGGCTGAGGGAAGGAGGTTCTCACCCAAGATTTGATGGTACATGGCCCCGTCCATCGTCCCTTTTATGCGGTGAAGTTGTCCTGTCCCCTTAGCATAAAAACACCCCCAAAACATAATGTTTCCACCTCAATGTTTGACGGTGGGGATGGTGTTCTTGGGGTCATAGGCAGCATTTCTCCTCCTCCAAACACGGCGAGTTGAGTTGATGCCAAAGAGCTCAATTTTGGTCTCATCTGACCACAACACTTTCACCCAGTTGTCCTCTGAATCATTCCGATGTTCATTGGCAAACTTCAGACGGGCATGTATATGTGCTTTCTTGAGCAGGGGGACCTTGCCGGTGCTGCAGGATTTCAGTCCTTCACGGCGTAGTGTGTTACCAATTGTTTTCTTGGTGACTATGGTCCCAGCTGCCTTGAGATCATTGATAAGATCTTCCCGTGTAGTTCTGGGCTGATTCCTCAGCGTTCTCATGATCATTGCAACTCCACGAGGTGAGATCTTGCATGGAGCCCCAGGCCGAGGGAGATTGACAGTTCTTTTGTGTTTCTTCCATTTGCGAATAATCGCACCAATTGTTGTCAGCTTCTCACCAAGCTGCTTGGCAATGGTCTTGTAGCCCATTCCAGCCTTGTGTAGGTCTACAATCTTGTCCCTGACATCCTTGGAGAGCTCTTTGGTCTTGGCCATGGTGGAGAGTTTGGAATCTGATTGATTGATTGCTTCTGTGAACAGGTATCTTTTATACAGGTAACACGCTGAGATTAGGAGCACTCCCTTTAAGAGTGTGCTCCTAATCTCAGCTCGTTACCTATATAAAATACACCTGGGAGCCAGAAATCTTTCTGATTGAGAGGGGGTCAAATACGTATTTCCCTCATTAAAATGCAAATCAATGTATAACATTTTTGACATGCGTTTTTCTGGATTTTCTTGTTGTTATTCTGTCTCTCAATGTTCAAATAAACCTACCATTAAAATTATAGACTGATCATTTCTTTGTCAGTGGGCAAACAGCAGGGGATCAAATACTTTTTTTCCCTCACTGTATACAAGAGCCACACACACACCAATGGTTGATTAATTTAATATTAGCAATGGCATTATGAACCTAGTCAAACCAGTCGGGACAGCCCCACTGTTCACCACAGCTCTAATACCACGTTTCCATGGCCACTGGGAACCAGGCTCGGCTGGCCCAGGGACGGCCCAGGGACGGCCCAGGCTCGCATCTCAAAGCCCTGCCAGGCATGATGGTTGGGGAATAACCCTTTAAATGTTTATATATTTTAAAAACTTCAACAGTAGGCATACACCACATTATCATTTGTCGGGCGTGTTTGTAACGCCGAGAACGTTCGCGACTAAGCGAGTGACGGCACTGCGCGCGGCGTTTCCTCCGCGTGCAGATCCCCATTACGGTGCAACTGGCTGTGGAGTCGCCCCAGATAGAAGCGTGTGTGACGCCGAGCTGCGCTCACACGAGTCAGGGAGTCGAACTGGACTGGGGCCCACGCGGTGCCCGGAACGAGCCAGCCCAGTTCAAGCGCTGGATCAACGGGCACGAGGCACGTGCCACGAGCGCACACCCGGCATGCATCATCAACCACCATCATCATGGCGCAGTAGCCAATGTGTATTCACGGCATTCTTCAAATACCACGCACAAAATCAGAAGCTTTCTAGGCCGCTTCCCGCCGCCACCACACTGCATAATTATAGGGCGGAAGCACGTGCAGCCGGGCGGTCAACGCGTGAAGCAGCCGTGGGAATTTGCGTTAGGAAAGAGAAGCGACTGCACCTGGGGGCGGGGGGGATATAGGGGGCGAGGGGGGGCAGGGGGGGCGAGGGGGGGCAGGGGGGGCGAGGGGGGGCAGGGGGGCGAGGGGGGGCAGGGGGGGCGGGGGGGGCCCACCGCCATCGCCCGGCCACCGAGACGCAGCTGCAATCATTCGTCTCCCCCTTCTGCCTTGCGCTTCTCAGCGGCGTGACAGCCGCATGGCCCTCTGCATGACGTTTAACGGAGCCCGGGTGTTGTTCCCCGTGTCTCTCAATTGCAACACGACGTGTAGATGGGGTGAGGGTGGTGTGGGGGGGGGGGTTACAGAGAGGAGCTGCACAGAGACCGATAGTGAAATGCAGAGAGAGAGAGACGTAAAAATAATAATAATAAACACACAAAGACACGTGGAAAGAGGCAGAGTGAACGATCGATACAGAGCGATACAAACAAAAACACAAAGACACATGCAGAGAGACGTGGGAAGAGGGAGAGAGAGAGAAGGCGGACACAAATACATAACTCCCTCATTGCCCCCCCCTCCTCCTTTTGCTCGCAAACACCCCCAACCCCTCCGCTTGCATGGACCCAGTAAAGAGTT